TCCTTACTTTGGGCACTTTTTTTTTTTCTCCTTTAAGAGACAACACAAAGTGGTGCTTTTCCCATCCCACGCTTCATGCTTGTTTCTTTCTCATCAAAAACACAAATTTTATTTTGTCCCTTTATATAAAAAAAAAAAAAAACATATTCGTTTGCTCTATTTAGGTTTTCATTATTCTCTAATTTATTCTTTTCAAACTTTTTCTGATAAGATGTTTTTGCAAACTTAATAAAATTACATAATTTCACTTTTTAAGAATTAATTTTTGTGCATTAATACGAGAATTTTTAATTTCATAAGCATGATTAAAAAATTATCACATATTTTATTTTTAAATTATTTTTAAAAAAATTTAGTTATATTCTAAAACATATATATTATTTTATTAATTTTGATAGTAAAATATAATAAATATAATAATTTATTTTTCTAATTAAGACTTGATTTGATTTGAATAATAAATTCAAACATGTGTACTCGAAAAAATTATTTGATATTTTTATTATAATTTTTTTACACAATAATAAAAATAAAACCCATATTTCCTATTCTTTTTGTATTTTCTCATCAAATTAAATGTACCTAAAATGAGTCAAATCTAAGCATAAAAGAGTTTTGTGGTTAGGTGATTAATATAATTGAAATAATTATTTTTTATAAGTTTTATGGATTGTTTGTTTGTAGCAATCTTAGGAATCATGTTAGGTAATTATGAATATTAATTGATTTTAAGGCAATCGCTTTACTTAATTAATTAATTAATAGGGTTTAGCAAGTTTATTGATCAATGTCAATTTTGTAAGATCTTTTTTTTTTTAAATTATATTTAAGGTTGTTTCATTGAATCATTATTCTTGTTGGATTAAATGTTATAGATGTCCAACTTTAAGGCATAAACTTCTTTTTTTTTTCTTTATTTTAATTCAATTGAAATTTTAAATGAATGAAATCTAGTCATGTGTAAAGCTTTAATTAATCAATCCATAAATTATAATCAATTTAACCTTAAAGGGATTTTAAAAAGGGAAAATGAAAAAAAATATAAAATGTTTTTTTTTAATTTTTATATATATTAATTACAACATATGACAAATTTTAATTATTTTATCGGTATCAAATAAAATTTTTTCTTTATTTTAGTTGGTAAAAAAAATTAACGATGATAATTTTTTTACCTAAATATGAATTTAATCTTATTCAAATAAATATTAAAAAATTGATTGATTAATAAAAAAAACAATAATTTAGATTTTTTTAATTATAATTTGGAGATTTTATTTTCCTTTAGCCAATAAATAAAAATTCTAATTTCCAATTTCAAACTAACTACTACAAATGGCAATAGGACGTATTGAAATGAGTTTATGCTTGTCCCAATTATAATCTATTTTTTTAATAATTTCATTTTATTCCATTTTAATATGATCGATATTGAATTGTCTTTCGTCTTTTGGTTTAATGATCAAGAGGCTTTAAAAAAGACATGTGGGTTTGAGTTCTAACTCTATCATCTCTCTTCTCTCTTGTACGGAAGTTTACCCTCTTAAACTAAAAAAAAAAAAATATTAAGTTATTATTTTTAAAACCTAATGGCTTTATTGGCGATCAATTCTTTAGGAAAATTATGAGATTGGAGCTGTAGAATCTGATTCCCCGGTCAGCAAAGACTTGCATGTCCGCGAAACATGTTCTTCAGAATAGTGAGAAAAGGCTTTCTAAAAGTTTTGCAACCTTGAATTCCAAATGACTATGGTCTTCTCTTCGGCCACACCTTTTAAATTGGGCAATTCAATACCAGGGAAAAGCACATGGCCAAGGCTTAAAAATAAATAAATAAATAACAGCCACCTACCAGAAGTGATAATATAAAATACCATATAATAATATAATATAAATATGATATAAATAAAAATATAACTATAATATAATTTAAAATTTTAATAATTATTATATATATTTAATAAAATTAAAAAAAATATTATATATTTTTATACTAATATGACACATAACTTTTATATAAAATATAATATAAATATATAAATTTTAATATTTTACATGAAATCATACGTATATTATATTACAACACACATAGTTACCTGATAAAATTTGCTGACATGGACGTTTAGGTGAATAATTTTATTTTTTTACACGTAAGAAAATTTTTAAAATTTCTTTTTAAAATGACGCATAAGATATTTATTAATTTTAAATTATTTATCAAAAAGATATATTTCAAAAATTATTGAATTATCTAAAATTTTAAATTATAAATAAAAAATCAATTTAAATTTTAATGAAATTGTTATCCCTATATCACCTCATCTCAATTTAAAACTAATTTTTAAATAATTTAAAACCAAATCCAAATATAAAGTAATTTACGTAATTTAAGTAATTTTTTTTGGAAACATCATTTTTTCTTCATCCTTTAAACCCATAAACCTCTCTAAGTATTCTTCAATTGAAGCTTTTCAATGGCGTGTATGTTTCTTTAAGCTTCTCGTTTTCTCTCTGTTTTTTTCAAAACTCATTTAAGATAACTCCTTTTCGAAACTCCAAATCTCTTTATTTCCTTAAAATTATTTCCCTTGAAGAATTGTTGTAAAAAATAAAAAGTCTCATTTGCTTTGTTAAATGTCTCTAATGCATGTAGTTGACCATTTGTCTTATAGCAGGAAAAGGTGGATTGAGAATAAAATATGTCCCGTATGGTATACAATCATAAGTTTGTTGGTACATGTAAAAGCCATTATCACTATAAAAATCCTATCAATAGACATTAAACTTATAAAATACATACTCAATCTAATATGCAATCGATGTAGATCACAAAATAAACCAGCATAAAAATTTCAAATCTAAAATCTTTGATAATAAAAATGTTAGAAAGATTATTCCATTAACCCATAGTCACCAAACAAAACATCAGCAACACCTTAGCCTTCAGTCCCTTGAAGTCAAGTAGCTACAAGTGCAGTAATTAATGAGAGATAAAGTTGCATAACAACCGGCTAGTCAAAGATGACCACAACAACACATTTCAGTTTAAGTCTGCATTGATCAAGTGACTAATGATTTTGCTATTCTTAATGGAAAGACTCCAATTCAAGTTTACTAGGATTTTTGTGAGAGCTTTGAGTCTGTATTTTCAAATTTCATTGGTTTTGTAATCACGGTAAGAGGTTTTACTTTCAAATAACTTGATCAAATAAAACAATGTCTTAGACTCTTTTTTGGTGTACTAATGCTAATGACTTCTATGTTGTGGTTTTTCAAAGAATCTCAATGGGTCTGGGACCAGATGGTGAGCTCTGTTATACCTCTCACCGTAAGCTTACCAAAAGTGGCATACATGCTTAATCTTATTAAACAACATATTGAAGCAATTTGAAATTCATTATGGGGGTTAAATGGTCCACATTATGTATTTACTTATGATCAGTCACCTAATTCAAATAGCTTCTTCAAAGATCATGATGAATCATAAAAAAATTTTTATAATGACTTCTTTTTTTTTAGATACTCAAACTAACTTATATATCATGAAAATCATCTCCTCTTTTTCGCCTTTTCAATTCAGTGATACTGCAGTGAATGTTTATAGGAAAATCCCACTGATGTAGTCATGGCGCAAATCCCGAGCACACCCTTCTGAACTGACAGCTGGCTTCCATAACACTGCCTCAAGAGATGGCTATAAAGCAGTTGCAAAAATGTTTGCAAAGAATTCATGCAAAATCATCTTGCCAGGGATGGACCTGTCAGATGAGCACCAGCCACGTGAATCTCTCTCTAGCCCAATCAACATTATGAAAAAAATAATTATTAATCTTAGTTATTTAAATATTAATTCTTGATTTTTTATCAAATAAAAAAAATAATAACAAAATTTTTAATATTTAATAAATAAATTGAAAAAAAATATTTTTTAAAATATTTTTATAATTCTTTAAAATTTACAAAAATTTAAACTTTTTTATATAAATAATATCATTTATAATATATTATATATAAATTATCATTTAATTATAACTTAATATTTATAAATATATAATTATATATTAAATCAATAATTAAAAATAAATTTAAAATTATGAAAATTTTAATAAAAAATCACGTACATTATACTGATTAAAAAAACTAATAAATTAATAAATCATCGTACCTACTCATATTCCCTTCTTCGTCCACTTCTCTTAATAGGAAGCCATCTGCAGTGGCTGACAGCCTGGTGGAATGCGACGTTGGATTGAGGAAGCCGCTTGACTGTATAACTTATGCCAAGTTAAAAATTAGATACAATAATTTATTTATTTTGTATTAAATATACACAAAATATAAAAATTAATATATTATAATTTAAATGATATATCAAATATTAAAAAAAATTTAAATTTTAAATCATATTATTTTTATTTTTATATTATATAATTATATAATATTTAAAATTATCAAATCTAATAAAGATTAAAATAAGAGAAGTTATTTGATAAAAGAGGGAGATGGATATTATGATAACATAATATATATATGATAAAAAATAAAATAATAAAATAATATTATTTAAATTATAATATTAATTATAATAAATTTAATAAAATAAAAAATTATATTTAAATTTTTATGTCAATATAAATTATATAAAATTTAATATAAATATATAAAATTTAATACTTTATATAATATAAATATATGAATAATTCGTGTTTATATTTTATAAAAATTTTAAGTTATTATTAATAAATAAATAAATAAATAAAACAGTTTGGAGGATGAAGTAAACGGATGTGCGCGAAAGCGATCCCTTCTTTTATTTGCATCTTAACAAAACCCTGGTGTTGATTACAGCTGTATTCACGTCTTCTCTCTCCTCAATTTTTTTTTCATTTTTAATACTATTTTTTTATTCTACTAATAATGAAAAAGACAAATTCTTTGCTTTCTCCATCTATTTCGTGACAAATTCTGCAAAAATAAATAAATAAAATTTTGATATAATTACAATATTTACACGACAAGAAAAAAACCAAAAGAAAACAAAACAAAGACAAAGAGATTTATAAATGAAAAGAAAAAAAAAGGAGCATCCTCGTGATCTGTGAAAGAGTCTTACGTGTAAATCTAGATTGCCTTGAAGCCTTTTCAAAGACTTTTGGACACCTTGTTCTTCTTCCTCTCCCTTCAACACCCAATTATTGTTCACATTCTTTAAAAAGCTTTTGCTTTTGTTGGGGGAGGAAAAAAAAAAGAATTCTTGGGGGTAAAAAACAGAAGGGGAAAGGATTTTTGGACTCTGGGGAAATGATGTTTTGATGTTTTCCTGTCTGGGAAATTTGTTTCCTTCAGCTTTTGTATGAAGAAAAAGCTTCATTCAAAGGTGGGTTTCTTTTATTTTTGTTTTAATATTAAAATTTTCCTTTTTGTTGTGCATCTAATTAACTCATTAATATAAATTTGGCCTTTTTTTGTGTGTGTGGGTTGTTTTAGGTGACTTGACTTTTGTTGGTTGGTTGGGTGTAGAATTTTAGCTTTTTTTTTAGTTTTGTTTCAATTTTTTGTTTGGTTTGCAAGTAACCAACAAATATTTGTTGAAATTCAATGTGGATTTTCCGTTCCAAGTTGAAATTCTATGTGGAATTTCCTTTTTAAGTTGGAATTCTTGGCGGGTTTTTCCTTATGAGTTCAGTTAGAAGGCATTTTTTTTGGGTTGGTCAATGGAAAAGTGTGCTAAAAGAGAAGAATTTGGAATTCTAAGCAAAATATTTCTTGCTTTAATTTGAGATTTTAATAAACTATAGTCTTTCTCACGGGAGTTTAATCATGGTAACTTCTGGTTTTTGTGAGGTCAATTTGCTGTTTTGGGAGAAACTTGAAGGAGCCAGAAGGATAACCGAAGCCAGATCACATTGTTAAGTGGATAATGAAATTTTAGTAAAGAAACTGAAGGCTTTTTTTAACAAATGAATAAATAAATATATATATGATCAATTTCATGAGCATAAATGAGAAATAAAAAGTTAGTTTGGAAAATTGATCATAGATGGCTTGCTTCCTTTCTTGACTGTTTCTAGGCATGTAAATTTCTTATGGCTGTGTAGAAAATGAGGTGTCCAGTCTTTCTAGGATCTTTACGAATCTTATTTACAGAAACCAAAACACAAGATTTCCTTCTGAAAGAAGTGGCAAATCTGTAGAATTTACTTATGTTGATGATTTCAACTATTTCAATCTTTTGCTGCTATTTTCTATGTCACATAGAGGACAAAACTTTAGTTTGCATTGCCAGAGTTTTTTGATATATTTGAACTCGAGGATTCACCCTGTTTCCAGTTTCTTAGTCTTCTATGAACTGGTTGGTTTTTTGTTATTTTTCACCGAGTTTATTGTTCTATTTGAAGCATCTTTGAATTCACTGCAAAGTTTGAACTATAGAGAATAAGCACAAAAGTAATTAGAAACATATAGGTGTTGGAAATTCCCTTTAAGAGGCTATTTTTGCTGACCTTGGAAACAAGCCCCAATATGATTTTGCTTAGTCCTGTATAGACATTTACATTAATTGCTGGGAGAACCTGGGGTTTCATTTCTTCTGTTGAATTTTTGCATAATTTTTCTAAAGCAAAAAGACAGACAGTAGAACTGATCAACCTATATTTTTATAAGATCCACATTTGTCACATAACTGTTATATCATATTGATCATGGCCTGGAATATTTCTGGCAAGAAACAGATGTTCATATATTGCCACTGAAAAAACTGAGAATGATTTAGCTTTTGAGTTTCTAGTATATAATGTCGGAATAAAATATCAAGCTTTGGAACTTGGCAAGATCTTCTGACTGTTCCTTAGGGCCGGACATTGGAAGTTTTTTAGTTTGGGACCTTTACATTGGGTGTCTTAATAAATAACTTTGAAATATTTGATTGCATTGCATCAATAAATCCTACTAGTTGTTTTTTTTCCTTGCCACAAGCAAGTAGATTTGATCAGGTATTGATTATGTGGAAGAAATAAGAAGGTCCTCTTTTAAATCTTCATTAGTACTGGAGCTTTTTGTTTTTTCTCTTTCAAAATATCGGGTAAAGGTAGATAACACGGATGATATGGTCCTTACACCTGATATGATAATGCATAAGATGGTGTATGTTTCCTAGAAAACAACAACCAAGCTTACTAAGCTGTTGTAATTACTTGACTGACTCCAACCAAAAATTTCTTGCTTAGGCTACTTTATGGCACTGCCTAGATGTCATCTTGTCACCTTTTATATTTAATTAAATTGATCTTAATTAAAGTTATCAACATGCGCAGATCAGATAGCGAGGCAATAATTTTGCTACAACATGCTTCTGAGTTTGTTTCTGTGATCTAATCTTAACTTGCGTGCTGAAATGACAGGGTTGTTGAGTTGTCATAGCTTAAAGCTTTTTATACAATGGGAAAATATTTGTGACAATAATGGATCCTCAGGCTTTCATCAGGTTGTCAATAGGCTCACTGGGTCTGAGGATTCCTGGATCTGCCCTGAATTCTTCAAAAGCTGGTATTAATGCATTCACTTCTTCTTGTTCATGTGAAATACGACTCCGAGGTTTCCCTGTGCAAACAACATCAATTCCCTTAGTATCCTCACCTGAAGCTACACCTGATATTAACAGCATTGCCTCTAGTTTTTATCTAGAAGACTCTGATTTGAAGGCTTTGCTGACACCTGGCTGTTTCTATAACCCCCATGCTTATCTGGAGATCACTGTCTTCATGGGGAGGAAGGGGACACATTGGGGTGTTGGAGTCAAGAGACAGCAGATTGGGACATTCAAGTTGGAGGTTGGTCCTGAATGGGGTGAAGGAAAGCCAGTGATTCTGTTCAATGGATGGACTGGGATCGGCAAAAACAAGCATGAGGCTGGAAAACCAGGAGCAGAACTTCATTTGAGAGTAAAACTAGATCCTGATCCAAGATACATTTTCCAGTTTGAAGATGTGACCATGCTGAGTCCTCAGATAGTACAGCTTCAACGTTCCATCAAACAGCCAATTTTCAGTTGCAAATTCAGTCGAGACAGGTGATGCAAAACTCTAAATTGTTTCATCTGTCTTCCATTTTTGAAGATAAATTTTGAAAAGGGACAGTTTGTTTTAAAATATATCTGGACGCCTCTTGGAAACTATATTCAGGTAAAATTAATAAAATTGGAAACGAGACCAACCTGCTTATAGTAATAGCAATTTAAGATATATATAAAAAACTCCAAAAACTCTAGCTAGAAATTTTGCATGGAAATTATTTCTTGATAGGTAGTATTGTCTTTGACCTTTGGACTATTTCCTTTGCTATTGAGGATTTTTTTCTTTTTTTTGTGTGTGGGGGGGGAGGGGGATTAGTGACTTTTTAGGGTCATGGATCTCAAACATTTCTTTGTTATTTTCTAGCCATTTGCTTATTGTTAATGAAACATTTCATGGTTGTTTTGAAATGGCAGAGTAGCACTGGTTGACCCATTAAGCACTTACTGGTCAGCTTCTGCTGACAGTTTAGACATAGAGACAGAGAGGAGAGAGAGGAAAGGATGGAAGGTGAAGATACACGATCTCTCTGGATCAGCTGTTGCAGCAGCCTTCATAACCACTCCCTTTGTGCCATCAACAGGTTGTGATTGGGTTGCCAGGTCCAACCCAGGGGCTTGGTTGATTGTTCGTCCAGATGTTTTCAGGCCAGAGAGCTGGTTGCCTTGGGGAAAGCTTGAAGTTTGGCGTGAGCGTGGCATCAGGGACTCTGTATGCTGCCGATTTCATCTGTTGTCTGAAGCCCAGGATGGAGCAGAGGTTCTCATGTCTGAGATACTTATTAGTGCTGAAAAGGGTGGGGAATTTTTCATCGACACTGACCGACAAATGCGGCAGGCACCAACTCCTATACCAAGTCCACAAAGCAGTGGAGACTTTTCAGCATTAAGTCCAATTGCTGGTGGCTTTGTAATGAGCTGCAGAGTCCAAGGGGAAGGTAAGAGCAGCAAACCATTAGTGCAACTGGCCATGCGACATGTGACATGTGTGGAGGATGCTGCCATCTTCATGGCACTTGCAGCAGCCGTTGACCTCAGCATTGAAGCATGCAAGCCTTTCCGTAGAAAGTTAAGGAGAGGGTCCCGCCATTCTTTATAAAAAAAATAATAATTAAGGTTATTTATTCCCATGATCAAAGAATGGCTCTATATTTGTGTTGATTTCTGTATCTTTGGCATTATGTACAGGATCTTCTGGTTTACCAATGTTCAAAAATTGTTCAACTCATTTATGGTGTCAGTACAGCCCAAATGACACCTATCTATCCAGTCTTCAAGCTGGGGCATTATACAGCTGGTGAGATTATTCTGTTTTTTTGTTCTGAAATCTGATAGGGTTTCCTTAGGATGATTGGTAAATTGTCAGCTTAAGACCTAATCAAACTCTAGTCTGCATCTTTGGCTGTCATTGGTGTCATGGTGTTTACTGGCTGTCATTTGGTTAAAAAGTAGTAGACCTCGGGGCTTCCACTGGTTACATTTGGAACCATTTGTGTGAAAAAACACTAATGACCTGGGCCATAGATCAGGTGGCTGAGACAATTTTACCAAATGCATGCGTCAATTTCCATCAAGTTAGCTCATTAAACAGAACTTCACAAATGGAACACATGATATGGAGCAAAATCTTTATTTTGATGAACTCCAAAAATGACGTGTTAATGAGTAGGGAAGTTTGTTTTTTGTTTTATCGTTCTAAGTGGCCATGATGACTCAACATGGCATGCTCTTTGGAATGGTCAACTTACTATCTCATTTGGATTCTAAAATAAGTTTGAAGGAGTTTGGGTTTGAAAGACTTAATGGATAAACTAGAGAATATAGGAAATCTGACAATTTTAACAACCACATGAAAATTATATAAAATAATTAAAAAAAAAAGTATATCGATTTAAAATTTTAGTAATAACTTGAGCCAAAGCAGAATGCCTCTTTTTCAAAGGTGCCAGTGGGAATTCTAGCTTCTGAGTTTTTGGTTAATCTCCAGTAAAGTGGCGCAGTATTTTAATATCATCACCACTTACCTCATACAAATAAGCATGAATTCCCATTTTTTTCACCATAGATTTGGTTTTCCACAAAATGTAAAAAAACCAGACGATAAGCACTCACGATAACAAAATTAATTGGCAATTGGCATGATATTTGCAGAATCTATTTCAGAACATAGCAGACAAGATACCAAGTTCAAAAGACGTCTACCAGCATTCCATAACCCCTGACCAGATTGTTGCCAGAAATAGAAACAGTACAAACTTATAACCATCTATGCCAATTTTTTTGATTTGCAACCGCTAACAGAAGCTATAACTAAGCCGCCTCTGTTGTCTGAAACAACTTTTCGACTTCAGTTATGGTGCTGTGAGCATCTTCGAATTCTGGGCCTTCCTTCTCATTTGCTTCCTCCAACTCAGCCTGAAATTGAATATGTAGTTCATCAAACTTCATTTAGTTAATTGATCTTCAATCAGATATATAAAGGTACCTGGATAGCAAATTAATCCAAAAGCAACAGAATACAACAGCAAAGATTATAATCCAAAAGCCATAATAAAGAACCATGGACACTAAAAGAGAGGTGACAACAGAACTCTTCCACCTTTTTTCCAAGTTAGTTTGAAGTATTTGGAAGTCAGTAATCAATAAATAAGAGCAGCTTGAGCTCTAATTATCATTCTAGCACCCGAAAGATAGCTACAAATTCAGTTATAGGCAGTGTGCATATGGGCCTACCTTTCTCAACTACATCCATGATCTATATCTGCTATCACCAAGGAATGCACTTTTCTAGGAGAGAGGGTTTGAGACAACCCCTAAACAACAGCTATTGGGTCATATTTCCCTAAGAACTAAAATCTGTTTGCATATGCCATGGCAACATATAATTCAACAATGGATTAGTGCAGCAGATTGATAGCTGGACCATCCAGCCTTGGTGCAATGCAAACTCCAATACTGAAACAGAACTAATGAAATGATATTGAATATGAACCTCAAGCTTTAACTCAGTTGGTTCATTCAGTCACCTAAGGTTAAGAGGTGGCATCAAACAGGTTTGGAGTTCAAATCTCTACATCTACAACCCCTTTCTCTATCACCAGGCTGCGGCATCCTTGTACCAAAAGGAAAATGATATTGAATATAAGTCTCCATCCCTAACTTTTAAATAAAATTCAGTCAGGACCAAGTCATTCATCAATATATTAAAAACTGATTGCGGTTATCTATGGGGCTCTTGTAGAATAAACAATGGAAAAGAATCAAACCACAGCTCATTGACAGTGAATTCAGTAAGACAAAAACTTCACCAAATACTATTAATGTACAATACCAAAGTTCCTTTAGGTCAGCCAAAGAAGCCTCTAGCCGCTTGCGACAATCAGGGATCATCATCCTTGATTCAGCCAGCACATTTTCCTGTCCAAGCAGATAAAAGTTTATATGTATAGAGAACAATTTATATGCGGTAGCTCCAAATTGCACATACCCAATTTACCAGGTGAATTGATACCACAAATGAAAAATAAAATGGGTTTTCTCAACAACTTACACCTCTGAAGCAATAAGTTCTACCATCCCAAATAAGAAACAACAACCCTTAGAAAAGCAGCAATAGATAACAGTAATACCTGTTGCTTGAGGTCATAATGGTCAGCTCCTTTGTCCTTCATGTCAGCTGTTTTCGCAGCTTCCCTCTCAACCTCTTTCTCATAAGAGTGCAGCTCTTTAACAATTCGTTTGCAAGTCGATGTCTTGATTTTCAGATTTCTAACTGTTGCCATGGCTTAACTGTAATAAGCAAATGCTTTCTATTACTGATTTCCACACCATAAATCAAAAGAAATATCACACATTCCCTTGCTTCAAAAAATTGTACAATACTTTTTATCCTTTCAGCCCACATTTCTATTTTCCCTTTTTACTATTAGTTTCCTTTCATTTCCTCGGAAGCCAAACAGATGGTCTGGGTTTTTTTGGGAGAAATTATTGTCACTGTTTTAACATTTGAAAGAGTTGGGTACTTGGGTTTGATCGATCTTGTTGGCTGAATGGAAAGAAAAGCCCAAAATAATAATAAAAAATTGCATAATTACATACCTTTGATAAGGATAAGGGGATCTGAATCTGACGATGAGAAGAGGACAGGAGTCTTGAAGTGAAGCTTCAGGATGTAAAACGCAGGTCAGGAAACAGGACCTGGGCGATACTCATAGAGCAGCGTCCTTTTTCATTTTTCTTTTTTATTTAAATCAAGAAAAAAATATAATAATTTAAACATCTCAACGTAATAAAAAATAAAAAATGCTACGATTAAAAATTTTAATTAAACAATATAAATTTGATAAAAATAAAAAATATATAATATGATAATTTTTTTATTTTATTTATGCGAAATAAATAAATATAAATATTCAGAATAAATATGATTATTGCCAATTGTTTCAGTTATGGCTGAACAATACATAAATCTTACTTCGAGTGAGCTCTTCCTCTGAAGTCTCAAGCTTCAATAAAACTATTTTATTCAAGGATGATTAACCTGTCAATTCAAGAGAAGGAAAAGCAATACTGGTTTCAACTTTGAAGTCTGTTAAGTTCATGTTGCAGCAATGCACTGAGCCCATCCTTGCCTGATCAAAAGACGCTACTCTAATTCCAACAGAGTCAAATGGCTGAAGTGAGAGTCCTTCACCAAGGCAGTGAAAATTTCTGAAAGATGAGATAAAAGGAACAATGGTCTAATTTACACAGTAATGTTGAATGCTATTTCCCCTTTTGATACATTTATATATAGGGCATGCATTTTGATTTGTATATGACGGATTTTGATTTGATCTGATCTTTTATCATTATGTTTTTTAATCGGGTATCAAATTGGGTCAAATGAAAAAAATAATCGAAGTCGGGTTGATATCAGATTTTAGGTAAATTCAATTTTAATTGATTCGATATATATATAAAAAATTTATTTTTTAATTAATTAAATATATTTAATTTTTTATTGATATTAAAAAAATAATATTATATTAATTTTGAATCATCAAATTGAATATAATTTTATATAATGTTAAATTGAATCAAATTTGGATATGATAAAAATTAAAAAAATCAAATTAAATTAAATTAAATTTAAAATAAAAAAATTTATCTCGATCCGACTGATATCATTCATATTTATGTATAGTCATTGGTGCATAAGCTACAACAACATTTCATATATTCAACATTGAGGTACAAAAGTACAACATAAATTGGAACAACTCAGGATTCAGTGCTGCCTGTGATAATTTGATTCCTTCCCTTCTTCATTTTACAGGGAAATGGTACAATTGCACCTGGTATGCCTTGTCTGTTATGTAATGTCAGAATTGTACTTCTTGCTTGAATCCTTCAATCTTTCCTCGTCTCAACAAGAATAAGAATCAATGTCCGAAACATGCATGTTTACGACACTATAACAGGATTCCTATGCATGTTGAAAACAAGGATTCTATAAAACTTTCATTCAAATACCAAAAAAAAAAAACAGACAAAACGCAAAAGCCTTGAAAAAAAAACAATAAATGAACATAAATGGATACAAAACAAAAACCCAGAGATATTTTCCACATATAAATACAAATAATAAAAAAAAACTATAAACGTTTACTTACATCAAGCTCAAGCAAGATCCATTCCTTATAATTGGCAGCAGTGCACCAATGAGTCCTGAGGTTGGTGTCGAGCACGTGAGAGGCTTTCTGTGAGGGTGACTCTCGAGATGCTGCTTTCACTTGTTAACTCAATGGCTTCACTTTGGGCTCCAATTCTATGTCCTTTTCTTCTTCTTTTTCTTCTTTAAGCTATCAAAAGCTTCTTCTTTTCCTCCTTTTCCCTCTTAAAGCTTTTTGGATTTTCAATTTGAAGAGGGCGGAGGATGCCTGCTTTCCCACCAAGACTAAGGGATAGAGAGAAAAATAATCTCTTCTTCTCTTTAATCTTAATTAATGAAAAAAAAAAAAAAGAGAAGAATTTTTTATGGGAGAAAATTGGAAGCTTTTGAGTTACTTTCAATCAAATTTACCTCATGACTGACTGAATTGAAGGTTCGGGCCTTTCGATTTTTAGGTTAATTGGACATTTTTAGGGTTAAGATCTGATATTCCTTTGAGCTTTGTCTATAATTTTACATCTGGGTGTTTGGATTTTTGATAAATTAAGATTTTTTTCTTTAATTTTAGATCAATACGTAGTAAAAATAAAAAAAATAAAATAATTTTTTTATTAGGTTAAGAATTTGGTGTGAGAAAAAAAAAAAACTATGTGTACATATATGTATATTTTTATGGGTATGTGATCTTAATTTTTATATATTTGTTCTGTTAATTTTAAAATTGATCAATTTATTAGAAGTACTATAATTGAAATTAAATAATTTGAATATTAAGTTAAAAAACTTATAAATTACAAAAAAAAAATGAAAGTACTTAAAATATTAAGGATCATTTGTGCAATTTACCAAAAAATTATATAGAGTCATAGTGAAATTCATGCTCATAAATCATAATACATAAATTTGAAAGTAATTTTTTTCCAACGAACGATTTGAAAGTAAATTCAGGTACACTTTTGTTTCCCAATTTGAAAGACATTAGGGATGTGATTGAATTGAATAAAAAATAATATAAATCTCCTAATTTTAGTTAATATTATTGAAGCTTTTCTATTAAAAATAAAAATAAAATCTCCTAATTTTAGTTAATATTATTGAAGCTTTTCTATTAAAAAATTTCAATGCAGCTGAGATGTTTTCAACACATTAAAAGAAAAAAATTGGATTTTTAACCCCATCGTAGCAGTTATTTTTAAAAAATAATTATATTTTCTTTTTTGTTATCTCTAAAATTATAATGTAAAGTCAAAAATATCCTTATCACTTAACTTTTTTTCATTTATTTTTTTATTTAAAATTTTTTAAGTAATTTTATTAATTTAATATAAATAGATAAGATTTTATAATTATATAATAAACTAATTAATAATTAAATAAATTTTATTGTATTCATTTTAATTATTTTTCTTTTTTTATGAATAAAATTATTATTTAATATAAAATATTTTAATATTTTTAATAATTTATTAATTTAAAAATATCAAATATAATATTATAAATTTATTATATACATATTTTAATTTAATATCTTTAGTAATCATTTTTTATTCTTATTACATTTAATCTCATCGTTACTATTGTTTTTGTATCTAAATATTTATCTAACTATTGACTTTGATCTCACTGTTATAGTACTCAATTTTACTTCTATAGTAATTAATTTTATATTGTCGTAAATTTTAATTTTACTGAATCAATCTCATAATTCATTTAAATAGTCTCCGAATCTTCTTTCTACCACCTAAATTCCAGGCCTTGTTTTTCTTTTTTCTTTTTTTTTTTTTAAAAAAGGCTATGGCATATGGAGAAATTTGAAGATTTTGGGTACAACCCAAGCATGTTCACTCAAAGAGCTGTATGGGCAATGAAGTTGAAGGGCATAGACTATGAATTCATTGAAGAAGACCTTGTTAATAAGAGTTCATTGCTTCTTTAATAAAACTTTAGTTGAATTCATCAACTCAACGTGAGATGATCAAGTGAAGGCGATCCTGTCAACAGCGAAAGCCTTAAAATTATTAGAAGAGGAGCTTCATGGAAAAAAAAAAATTTTTTTGGTGGAGATTAAGAAATAGGCTACTTTTCTTTGGAAATTTATGTTTGCAAGAGGCTCCAACTATGTGTACTTGACTTTCCCTTTAATTTGAGATATGCTTCATGGAACAGTTTAAATGTGTGTATTTTTTTCTTGAAATTACTCCAATATTTTCTCCCTTAAAAACTATAATAATAATAATTTTGTAATTTATAAGCCCAAAGCTAATTTTGTTTGCTCTAATTATGAATAAGGGTGAAATCGAATAAAACATTTAACAAATGGGTCATAAATAAATTTGATTTTTATTTATTTATATTCATTTATTAAATAACAAATTATCACAAATAAAATTTTAAGAATATAGTAACAGTCGTTTATATTTAATTCATTTAATATAATTGAATAAAGCATTCAACTAGTAATTCATAAATACGCTCGATTTATATTTATTTATATTTATTTATTAAATTTAATAAATTATCATAAATAATATTTTTAATTTATTAATTAAACGAATAAATAATAAATATAATAAAATTTATTCATATTCAATTAATAATAATTCATATTCATATATAATATAGTGGTAGGATTTCTTTGCTTGAATGACTTAGCTTCTCTTTTGGTTTTTTTTTTAATAACATTTAATACATCTAAAATTTTGATCTCAGTATTTATAATATTTTTTTAATATTTAATTATATACTTTTTCATAAAAATTTTAGAATTTTTAAATTTATATTTGATATTCGATTAATATATAAATTTTATATACGGTTAATAAATCAATGATACTACTTTATTAATGAAAAAAATTAGATCATGTTATTTTATTAATAAAGTAATATTATTTGATTAACTGATAATATATAAAATTTATATATTAACAATGCATTAAATATAAATTTTTTAAAATTATACATTTAAAAAAATAAATAAAATTTAACTCAAAATTTAACATAGACCTGATTTTAAATATGACATGATGACACAATACTAAAATGATATAAAAAAATTATGTATAAATTTAATGTAATCGTATTTCATGTCTTAATATTATCGACACGATTAAGATACGGTATTATTTGTGTCATGTTCATTTTAAATAGTGATGACATGCTTAAGATACAATATTGTTCGTACAAATATATATTACATATAAATTATAAAATTATTTTAATTTATTTTTTAAATAAATTAATAATTATATTTATCGTATCATTTTCTTATTTAAATATATTTAAATATTTAATTTTAAATAATATTTTCTTTAAATACTAATTTAAATAATTTTTTATTTAAATAAATAAATAAATTATATTTAATTATATTATTCCTGTCTAATTATATTAATCGTGTCATGTTATATTATTTAAATTATGTTAAATAAATTAATTTTAAATATATTAATTATATCGTATTACGTATAATATATATAATAAATTTATTATATTAATATTTAAATTATTCGTATTATTTAAATATTTATATCATATTTATATCAAAATTATTTATATCATATTTAAAATTATATTTGCCACGAAATTCCTCTTATACAAATTGTTTAGATACAATTTAACATAATAAACTTATTAATCCTAGTATTGCCATGCCACTCCTGTAAATGCATTAGACAAAGATACTGTCTTCAAAAGTGAAACCCACCAACAGGCCACAGGTCACATCTATATTTTTCCCTCTCAATATAAAAATGGATACTTCCTTAACTTATCTGAGACTAAGATACCCCACCTCCAATCTAAAAAACAAAGAAAGAAAGCCATGTACCCAACACAACCGTCTTGGAACCTCGGGCCTTAACTGCACAATAATTGCTGCATTCCAATCCAAGTTTATTCTTCTTCTCTCTCTCTTCTCTGTCTCTCTAATTATCTCCCTCTTTCTCCCTGGTTAAGTGAAGTTTTGGCAATGGCAGGACAATCAAGAAAATGGATGATACTAGTTGCAACGACATGGGTACAGGCTTTTACAGGGACAAACTTCGACTTTTCATCCTACTCTGCAACATTGAAATCAGTTCTTGGGATATCTCAGGTTCAGCTCAATTATTTGTCTGTTGCTTCAGATATGGGGAAGGCATTTGGTTGGTGTTGTGGGGTGTCTCTAATGTATTTGCCATTGTGGGTAGTCATGATCATGGCTGCCTTCTTGGGGCTTTTTGGCTATGGTGTTCAATGGCTTGTAATCAAACAAGTCATTACCTTACCCTATTTCCTGGTAAGTTCCCATTATTTAAAGACTATGATTTTACAGAAGATTGGAAGAAAGTTGTATGAGAAAGAAAATGCTTCTTATTTTCTTTGCGTTAACTTGAATCTATACTTGTCTAAATTTCCTGGTTTCTGCTTTCTGGGATTGTTGATCTATCTTAAGTGAATTTTGCATTTTTTTTCTTTCGTTTCTCTTGTTCCCAGAGTGGGTGGGGGGTTTAAATAAATGAGTGAACCAAACTCTTCCACACAAAACCAAACATAACCGCAACCTGAAGCTTGTTCCTAGTAAATCTAACAACGCAAGTTAGTTTGACAAATGGAAAGTGAAACTACAACATCTCATTCAATTAGGTGTGAAGGTTGTGGCTGGTTGTTGAAGTAAAAAGATTAATTTTCATATCCTTTTAGAACCTCCCCTTATCCTTTGGATGCCAACGCCCCACGTTAGTTACTATGAGGAAGCCAGTCCAATACCAAGATGATGATAGCCACTTTTGGTTCGGAACCAATTTTTTGCCCTCATTTGCTTTTCCCATCTAATTTCTGACCAAATCACATATTTTAGTAAACACAAAAGAAAAATAGTAGGAGAGCAGTCCAATTGGTATTAACCACATATAGACTCTTGGTTACTAAATTAAGCTGAATCTTTGTTAATTAGATCATTGAGAGACAAATACCAAAGACTTTACCTAATACTTTAGTTTGGTCTGAAAAGAATCTTTGCTTGATTTGTTTATTCAAAATTAGCTTTTGGGCCAACATTCTTGACCGAGTGGTTCCGGGAAGAATTATGGCATGTTATAAGGCTTGGATTCGAGTACGAGCAACCCCAACCCTCACCTCCAATAAAGTTGTTTTTTGGGTAAAACTTTCATACAAGAATATCTCAAACAAGGATGATTTTCATTTTCAAGACACTTTTTCTTTGAAAGAAAGTTAGGATATTTGCTTTAATGTGACAAAGATTCTGTACAAACTTGTTTCTGTTAAAGGTAACATGGGATTTTATGTTGAACCACTTTGTTTGTTATATCAGATCAACAAACATTTGATATCTAAGGATCAGTTGGTCCTTCAATGATGTGATTAAAAACGTCCAGCAAATTTTATTTGGATCACAGTCTGCCAGGCAAGTAGGCAACCTTCCATTCCAACCTACCTTTTCTTGCATTGGCAGCATGGGCTTATCTCCTGAACTCCAGAAGTCACCCTCAACTTGATACAATTTATTCAAACATTCAACATCTCAGTGTACCAGACTGCTTATGCTGGAAAAATACCCTTTTTATTATAGAGAGATAACTAAACATTGTTCATATTAAACATGAAAAGAAAAATTTACACGCCATGTCCACATCCTTTCTATTTGCAGACACAACCAGGAGAGAAGGACCAAATAGGTCGAATTCCGCTCTGCAAAAACCCTTGTTCCTTAATTGGGGGAAGATATTTGACCATTGAGCCAAAACTTACAATTCTATACTGACGTTACTGAATGAATTACTTTATTTCTTTGATAGAAATTCTACTGCATCCATTACTTGCAATATCTGGTACCTATCTGTACATTATTTGATGAGATGATGACTCTGCTCAGTCATGTAAATGCATTATCCATGGCTACTCCACATTTTGTGCTAATATATTTAACAGAATCTAAGCTTAGTTCCTTCTTATCAGTAATTAAAAGTTTAGCCTCAGCCACATCTGTCCCTGTCACCATCTCTCTATCTCCGTGCCTGCACCCAAACAAATTTTACAAGGAGTTGATGGATAATAACCTAGTGGGAAAAGAGGGAAACAGTTGCTTGAGTAAAAGCTTTTGATTAGTTCTGAGAGACCATTCCACTGCAAACTAATTGTGTTTTGATGTGAATTCATGGCAGGTATTTCTTCTGTGTTTGGTATCTGGTTGTAGCATCTGCTGGTTCAACACAGTATGTTTTGTTTTATGCATCAGAAATTTCCCAACCAACAGGGCACTTGCTTTGTCCCTCACCATCAGTTTCAATGGTGTAAGTGCTGCAATTTATACTCTAATTGCTAATGCTATAAACCCCGATGATGACACGCTCTATCTCTTCTTAAATGCACTTGTGCCTCTTCTTGCATCCAGCTTAGCTCTCATTCCAATACTCCGCCAAGCACCTTTGCAGCTTCTGTCCACTGATGCTATTAATCGGGATTCCTTCATTTTCATTATCCTTAATGTTTTAGCTGTTATCACTGGCCTATATCTTCTCCTTTTAAATTCACTTTCTTCTGAAGCATTAAGGGCGCGCATTCTCCTGGTGGGTGCCTTAATCCTATTGCTCCTACCTTTGTGTTTACCAGGCATTGTCTGTGGTAGGAACTGGGCTCGTCGTAATATCCATACTAGCTTTTGTCTTGATGGTTCGACCTTCAGCTTGTTTGACCCCGATGACCTTGAGCTCCATAAGGAATTGATTGGAAGTGATCAAAATAATAGCTTGAGTGTTGATTCATTTTGTGTAACAAACACAGAAGGGTTTATTGGGAAGGTAATGGAGAAAGGCAGGTTAACAATGCTAGGTGAGGAACACACAGCAAGACTGCTAGCACGCCGGTTGGATTTCTGGCTATATTATGTGGCCTATTTCTGTGGAGGGACAATAGGGCTGGTTTATAGCAATAATTTAGGGCAGATTGCACAATCACGCGGATACTACTCCCAAATTAGTACAGTCGTGACTCTCTACTCCTCTTTCTCATTCTTTGGTCGTTTGCTTTCAGCTGCTCCAGACTTCCTGCGTGAGTACGTATTTACTGCAAATAGTACATATATGCGTTTACAAGATTGCATCAACATAAAAAAATAAGCAACACCTTATCATCTTCAGAACTCATTAAGTAGAGAAAGGCATCTCCAGCAAAGTTGCATCCCTTTGCATGGAAATTGACCTTACTCTTTTAGTTGACCCCATGGACATTATTAGAGTTCAATAGTCATTGAATATACATACAATCTTAGGACTCAGAAGCAATTTTGTTTTAAAGTTGCTTCATAACTGACGAATAAATTCTAATGTAAAGCCTCAAGAGTTCGCTAATCTTGCAGTTGCCCACAAAGGCCTTATTAAAATTCATCCCTGAAGAATTTTGGAGTATTAAAATTTTAAATTGACTTCCATACTTCCATGTAGGCATTTAACTCAGAAAATGATGAAAGCTTAAATGTCTTAACAATGCAGCAAGGTGTACTTTGCAAGGAGTGGGTGGCTAGCAGTTGCCCTGGTGCCTACACCAGTAGCCTTCTTTTTGCTTGCTGCATCAGGCAGTGAGGCAGCACTGCTTGCTGGCACAGGCTTGATTGGATTAAGCTCTGGATTTGTATTTTCAGCAGCAGTATCCATCACATCAGAGCTTTTTGGGCCTAATAGTGCCAGTGTCAACCACAACATCCTCATCACCAACATTCCCATCGGATCACTCCTCTATGGTCTCCTTGCAGCTCTGGTATACGATTCTAATGTGAAAAGTTCTATACAGGAAAACTTGTTGGAGGAAGCAATGGTGTGCATGGGCAGGGAATGCTATCTGCAGACATTCATATGCTGGGGATGCATTTCCCTGTTAGGCCTAATCTCAAGTTTTCTGCTTTTCTTAAGGACCAGGCCTGCTTATGACCACTACAAAAGGAATAGAAGTCGAGCACAGTTTTCCTAGACTATGAAGTTTAAGTCCCCTCTCCCCTCTCTCTATTTTCCTTTCATAGGATCTCATATTGCTAATGCACTTAAAGGGTATAAGGATTCCCAGGAAAATTGGGAAATCCAGAAGTGAACAATGACTCATTGAACATATATGTACAACTAACAAAATGCCTATCCCCCCTTAGAGCAGGCCGGGCAAATGTTTCTAACGAACTACAGAATGAACAGGAAAAAAAATTAGTTAGATTATGACTTGTGGAATGCATCATTGTATGTAAAGGCAGACTACATTTTATCTAGTTTTACTAGTCTTGGCTTAAGCATTGTGAATTAGATATTTGCTTGTATGAATAAGTAAACATAAAGGGAAAAAGAGATAAAAACATTTATTAATATGTTAATTATCTCAAGAATAATACAACAGCTTCCAAGTTCCGACCAAGAATATTAGTGTTATTTGGTGTAACAACCACATTGGAAATGATGATGACCTTGCTTTTAGTATAAAAGCAGGGCATCAGGACATTGATTAAACCAACCATCCAAGGTTAGATTGTTAGAAGTTTCTTGTAAGTTGGGCATTGCAATTTGATTATAAGATACAATTGGTTGGTAAGGATAGTTTTTGACAAGCCCTATAATAAGAATCACTTGGGACTGAAGTAGAAAGCTACCAACAATGGTAGGTTTCTTGTCACCATCCTCCTTTGCTGATAGCAAGAAAGCTGTCTCCGCAGGTTATCTCAAGTGGCTTATTTCCGCACTTGGACAGAATTTATGAGTCTTTTACAGGGTTATCTTAGCAGCTGCTAAATACTGCTTATCCTTTTGTTTAACTCTTTCTTTATGCTAAATACCTGGAATATCATGCCCTTTTTAGAAGGCGTTCTCAGGATGGATAAGTGATAAGGGGGATCGCTATCGACACAAGAACCAAAAAGTTAGCAGTCTCAGATGTTATTTGAAAGGAATAATGCAAGAGCAAACGGATTGCCTTTTAAGTGTCCTGATCTCTTAGAGTTAGAAGTCAAGTACGCAATTTGTGCAAATCTCCACACTTCAAACAGTTGAACCATTCCTTGATAATCTGCTCTGTTTGGGGAGAGTGGGAAACAACTTAACTCTCAAAGTTTCTTGTGTCCTTCCAACTGAACCTCTGATCAAACTACCCAACCAACACAAAGAAGTGAGGGAACCATTATCCTAAGATGGTATTCAATCAACAATTAAAATGAGAAGTCATAATGTTTAATAAGTGCGTCGTGGGAGAACTCTCAACACACTGTGCATGTCGTTTGTTAATTGACCTGTAGAGCTATAATCATAAAACGCAGTTACGACGGCACGGTGAAATTCTCTCCCATCTCGCAACCAAGGGGACCCTAAAACTAATGTTAGAGCAAGTAATTGCAATTACACATGCAGGACTTCTGGGAAATTAAACCTGCATGCAACTAACAAATTCAAATAAAAGCATGCTCTCACCCCAAATATATTATAATTTTAACCTGCAATAAGAACTTAAATGCAAAAGGGTTGATTCACTTGACTACTTTCTCGAACAACTCAATACTTCAAAAGCTAGTATTAATTCAAGTTGCAGTATGCAATTGTTAATAGCATGATGCAAAATGTTATCAGATATTCAACAAGGAAAATTGCTAGAAAACTTATCTAGCTTTTATGCAATCAAGAAATATATTTTCAAAAATGTATTCCCCTTTTGAGGCTCATCATGTATCAACTTGATTCAGCTCAGTTACACCCATAAGCCAGAGACTTGGGTGCGTAAAAGATCATGTCATTTTAAGGCAACTTCAAGAAGCCAAGCAGATCTTTTTCCAAATCAAACCCAAGAACACAAAGCAAGCATATTACAGTGGAAGAGTGCAGATTAAGGAAGCAAAATATAGGTAATTTATTAACATTTATAAAAGAGAGGGAAGAAAAGATTAAAAAAAATGCAAATATAATCCGATCAAAAGGAAAAACAAAAATTAAAAACTTTGAAGAGATTACAGAACCCCTTAGCTCTTCTTCTCACCTTCAGTGCTCTTCTTCTTGGCTGTTGCTTGTGAATACAAGAAAGTTCCAAGTATAGCAATCCCAGATCCAAGTGCATTCAAAGGCCGAACTTGATTCCTGAAGACCAAAATAGTTGACACTATAACTACAACCCTCTTCATTGTGTTCCCAACTGAAAATGTCAAAGGGCTAATTTCATCTAGTGCCTGATAAGATGATTGGTTGTATAGATGGTAAAATATCCCTGAAAGCAAGACCCATATGTAAAATGTGGATGCTTTGCCAACAGTTTGGATTGCTTTGTGATATCCTTGAACCCATTGGGACCCCTCAACAATAACAGCCACAGGAAACAGATAAAGCAGAGAGATTATACTGATCCAACCATACAAATTCAAGCCATTCACTTCCTTAAAGTTCTGCAAACTTCTCTTGGAATAAATGTTTCTTAACACAAATCCAACATTGCTAATCAAAGCACCCCATAAGCCTTCAAAATTGAAGGAAACCTCGGTTATAGCAGCTAGAGAACATCCCAAAACAATGGGAACAATGGACAGCCAGACTTTCAAAGGGTATGTATCACCAAGAAATGAAGAGAAAACAACAGAAAACACAGGCTCCGATGATTTGATAACATGAGTGAAGGAAACAGCAACCTTAGAAAATGATACACAAGCTGAAATATGGCCTATTGTGTGAAATAATGCAGGACCAAGAAGTGCAATAATAAAAGGCTTTGTGATTTTGGGACAAGGTTGCAACTTTAAAGACCAGAGAACGAACATCCAAATGGAACCAGCAAAGAGTTGAAAAGAAGCAAGAAGCCAAGGGAATGGAAAGACATTCAATGCTTTTTTGTTGTAAATATTAAAGACAATGTTTTGGAAGTACCAGAAACCGAACACAAGTGCAAGCTGTAAGGTTTTGGCCTTTGACTTTGCTGCTATTTCAGCAGCTTCAGCTTCTCCTTCTGGATTAGATTCAGATGCTGCAGCTGCTTTGGGAACATTGGATCCTGGTTTCTTGGATGGCTTTCCATGGCTGAAAACTTGGATCTTGCCAAAAGGGTAGCCATGGATTTTGTTAAAATCGCAAACTTGGGGGTTGTGAGGGGTGGATTTGTTGAGAAAAGCAGGAGGCTGAGTACAGTTTTTTGGGTTTTGGATCCTTTTGATGGGATAATATTGATGAGTGGATTTGGAGAAAGAGACGGGAGAGGATGGTACGAGATTCAATGTAAACATTTTTAATTGCAAGAGAAAAAACAAGAGATCCTGCAACAAGAGAAAACAAAAAACAAATTGAAGGAAGATTGAAGCAGGGACACATATTTCAGTGCCTCTTTGTAAAACTGGCAATTTCAGATATTTACGGTTACACCGCGTAAAAATGATATAGAAATAATCGAATATGTATTTAAAAAATATATATTTTATATTTATACGATATAAATTTTAATACGATATAATTCGTATTATATATGTTAATTTATTTAAATATAAAATATGATATAAATAATATGCTTAATTTAATTTTATTATATAAATATACATGTAATATGTTTAATATATTTAACATATTTTTTATATTTATTTTAATTTAATATAAATATATAAAAATTATTTTAATTTTTAATTTTTTAATTATGATATTTAATTAACTATTTAATATCATATAAAAATTATTTTAAATATTTAATTATGATATTCATTTTATTTTATTACTTTTTTATATTAATAATATAAATATTAAAATTAGTTCTATATATTTTATTTTATTCTTTAATTTTTAATAATTTATCATTTTGAATTTAATATTAAAAATGAATACAATTATATAAATTAAATTAAATTTAAATATATATATTAAATAATATTAAATGAGTATTAAATTTTTTATTTTTTAATAAGTAAGTTATTTTTTATATTATTAATATATCAAATTTATTAAGTTATAATGATAGATAATTTATAATTATTTATTATTTTAATCATATTTTTTATATATTCGTATTAATCATATTTATTCATATATATTTATGTTAATTATATTAATTTATATATATTTATATTATTCATATCATATTTAAATAAACAAATTATATATATTAATTATATCGTGTTATATATAATATGTAAATTAAATATGTTATATTTATATTTAAAATTTAAATTTATTTTATAATTTATGTCATATTTATATTTTAATAATTTATATTAATATATATATAAAATACGATATAAAATATAATACATAAACACTAATTACCCACCTTTATCCTTTTGGCTTGATCCTCAATTGTTCTTTTCAAGATACTGTTTTGGGGTTACAAAAATTTGAACGTATGCATTGGGTTTTGGTTCATAGAATAAAAAAATCCGTAGGACATGGGGAAAATGCATATCAATAAGTACGTTGAAACACAAACAGTGCCTATAAATTATTCTTTCTAGCTCATATAGAAAACATTAAACTCCAGGATTCATGTTGAAAGTTTATAGTAAAGCTGAAAGGCTGGATGGATAACTTGGCTTCATGTTGTCTGATGTAGCAAGCTATTTACCTGGATTGGCCCCTTTCTAAAGTTACACAAGTGATTCACTTCCACTCGTCAAACGGACAGAATCCAAGCATCTGAATATTTTAAAAGTGCCTGTATATCCTATTCCAAAAGCTAAGTTCCATTCTTCTGTTCTTTAATCAAAAAGGAAAGTACAAAATCTGACAAAAGAAACATTGTTTGTTCAAAGCTTTTCCAGTCAAGGTAAACCTTCGGTCATATGTAGCTCGACATGTGAACAAGTTAATGATTACTAGTTAGAGTTTTCACATTTACATTCCATTTCCAACTCCCTGAAGCAACAATTTCCCATATTATTAATGATTAACTTTGGCAGCCCATCTCGCTCCGACAAGTTTTTACCCGATTCAATTCTGTAGGAACGATTTTTTTTAAAATTAAGTTTTGAGTTAAATCGAATTGAGTTATATAATAATAAAAAAAATCAAGTTAGATTATAGTGAGATTTAAATATATTTCATCTCATTCGATTCGATTTGATATATATAAAAAATTTATTTTTAATTAATTATTTATATAATTTTATATTTATATTAAAAAATAATATTTTATTAATTACAAATCGAATTGAATTAAATATGATTTATATAATATTAAATTAGATTTGTTTTAAATATAAAAAATAAAAAAATCCTTGAATCGGGTCGCATTCAAATTTTATGAATGTAAAGTTAAGTTAAATTTAAGATGAACAAAAATTCATTTTAATCTAACTCGTTATTATTCCTATTGATGATAAGATGATAACAGTTTAGTTTGAATTGGATTCGATTCATTTTTTTAGATATTACACAATATTATAAAATTTAAAATTTGATTTAAATCCAAACTAAATTTTCATTAAATCCAAATTAAATCAAATCAAATTTTATCGATTCGATTTGGTTTATTGATTTTTAGTTTTTAATTTTTTTAATTTTTATGTATTATTTTAATATATTTAAATTGATTTTGATATAAAATTATTATTTTTATTTTATAAAAAATTTTAAAAATATATAAAAATTAAAATATATATATAATTGATTCTGCTTTTTTTTTTTTTTTTTATCTAAAATTTGATCCGAACTGATATATATTTAATATTTAAATTTAATCTAAATCAAATAAAAAATAATATAAATTAAATCAAATATTATAATTTCAAATCGATTTATAAATTTTTTGATTTTTTTTATTCCTAATTAATGAACCTTAATTTAATCATGCCGAAGCTATGATTGATGGGCACGAAGCTGCTTGAGGACGACAGGACCTTTAATCTTCTGTAAGAATGCCTCTAGGCTTAAGGCATGTAAGCGTGCGCATCATCAGGAACGTGAAGCACTAGCGTTTTTTTTTTTTTTTCCTTAAGGAGATTATTATTTACATTTTAATATAAAAACAATTATATAAATTAAATAACCAACATAATAACATTGTATTAAACGTACATATGTTTAAACCCTAATCCATGCATGGCAGAGACAAAGGACTTTAAGAATGAAAAATTATTGAAGAGATCATATGATTATTAAATTATTAAAAATTTTAATTTAATCACTAAAATTTAAAACATATTTAGCTTCTAATAGCTTGTTAACATAGCAATGACGTGTCAATTGTCATATACTATTAAGCATTGTCATGTTAACAATTTTTTAAAAAAAATTATAATGTCATGTTAATAATATTACGTGATATATCAAATGACGAGATAATATTATTTTAACATATTTACTCAAAATTTTATAATTAAATAAAAAATTTAATAATTAAATAATTATTTTAAAAACATGATCATAAATTGAATGATAAAAAATATATTTTACCTTTTTATTAATATATTTTTATTATATTTTTTATCATTATTTAATTCAAACAAGAACTTCTCTTTAATAGTGCATACTTTTTTTTTTAATATTTAAAATTTAAAATTCAAAAGTCATTTAAGCATTAACTCAAATGGAACGTATGTTGGTTCGATTTCTTTAAATTTTAAATTCAAGAGAATTTATATATGTAATGTTTTTTTTACTTGAATTGAGTTAAGCCGGTGGAGGTCGGGAATGAAAATATATTAAAATTTTCAAAAGAAAATTAAAATTAAAAAAATGAAAAAAATCAAGTTGCGTTGGGCTAGCTTTTCAAACCTTGAAACCAAACAAAGCCGAATTCAAGTTTGCCCATGGATCCCTTTAGTAAAACCAAAACTAGCAATTGGGCTTTGTGGATTTGAGATTGATCACCGCCCGATTACATTTAACCAACTTACCAAACGGACTCAGTTTCAACCTCCCCTTTTCAATTTTTAAAAATTCCAGAGCAGATCCTGGAAGTCTGAAGCCCCGATTCAATTTCTCAACGTAAGAGACAGAAAAAAAAAAAGAGGAAAATGGCAGCGAAACAAATGGAGGAAATTCAAAGAAAATTATCGATGCTCAATTACCCGAGAGCCAATGCTCCAGCTCAGTCTCTTCTCTTCGCCGGCATGGAACGTTACGCTCTTCTTGAATGGCTCTTTTTCCGGTAACTTCAATTTCAACACTTTTTTTTTTGTTTGCTTTTCTCTTCTTCGGGGTTTTCTTTGATTTTTTTTTTTTGGGGTTAAATTCAGGCTATTAGGGGATAAGTCACCGTTTTCGCAACAAAATTTACAAGGGGATGCTATGGATCGTGATGAAGAAACTTCTAGAATCCAATGTAAGTTCATTATCTCTTGAATTATCTTTCTTTTCCTTTTGGGAATTGGGTTTTTTATATTTTTTGTTTGGTTTTGGGGAAAATTGTTAAAATTCGCAGATTTGGCTGAGATTGCGAAGTTTTTGGGGATTACTACTACAATTGATACAGAAGCGATCCAAGTAAGCTAGCTAAGATACTAAGTTTCTATTTTTAGAGGCTTTGTTTGATAGTTACTTTTACTTCTTTGAAAGTTGCTAAAAAAAGAATGCAACACATGTTCAAATATAATGATTTTATGTGAAAGTAAAACAAATCATGCGTGTTATCATTCATAAATAGTGTGCGTGTTATCATTCATAAATAGTGGGGATTTTAAATCTTAGTTATTAAAAGATATTTCCAAGTTCTGATAAGAGGCTTTGAAATTTTTGAGAAAGTACTGAAAAGCATAGAGGTTTATCTCTCAAGTTGTTTGCCGAATGTCTCAATGGAACAATGCAAGGAGTGTTGATTATGACTGTGATGGGATGTGTACTGATAGTGATTTCAGATTCTTCTTCATCCGCTCTTTAAGAAGCTAGCTCTAACTCTACCTGAAACTTTGTATTTCCAAGTTTTAGCACAAGCAATAACATTGTGTTTTCTAGGGACGAGGAAGCTATGAAGATCGGACCGAAATGCTTCATCTTATCGTTGATCTGGTGGAGGCAAGCATCTATGCAGATAATCCAGAATGGAGGTGCAGATGATATGGAGTTCACGTTTGGTTTAAATTGCATTAATTCTCATAGAAGAAATGTTCATTTCCTTATGTTTATATTATTTCTTTTGTTTCAGTCATTACTTTCAATGTTTAGTATGATTTCATTATTTCTCATTCCAAAATTTCCTTTACATTCTTTTGCAGTGTTGATGAGCAGGTAGCAAAAGACATACAACTAATAGATGCTATTGCAGAGAAACAAGCTCTAATTTTCTCTGAGGAATGCAAGTTGTTCCCTGCAGATGTGCAGATTCAATCCATATATCCATTGTAAGTAGCCCCCCTTTTGCCTTATTAGTGTCCACATACCTTACCTGATTCTATTTTTCTTGTTCCTCTTCTATTTACCATACTATTTAATATAACTATAAGTCAATCTTCCATTTTCCTCCTTTTGAACTTTGATTCTCTATCAACTGATCAACAAAACCCTAGATTCATCAAAGTTGATGATTATAAAATAATTGCTGATATGTTGCCATGTCCATTACTGAGGATCATCTTCAACATGGCCCTTCCAGAGAGCTAGCATTTATCACCATGAAAAATACTCAGCTGTCAAGCCCAAATATGTGATTGAGTCTGAAAGGCTGCTTTTTGCCCATTTCCTGATACGACCATACCATATTGCTGTCATTGTAGTCAACATTTCCTGGGACTAGCTAGTAGGGCTTCTCTTAGTACATGTATCTAGACTCCATTTAAACCAGAATAAGGAATTGTTATATGTCATGGACTGTTGGGTTATAATTCTGCTAGTCCACTAATGCTACTAGCCTCCTGCCTCTATTAGACCCCACTTCTACTTATTCTGCAATGTCACTATTTAAGAAGCTTATATAGTGCTTTGGCTGAACTTTTTAGGCTATGAAGACCTTGCTCCCAGAATAGGTCCCATTACAATTAAAATTATCCTATATTGCAATTGATAACAATTTCAGACTTCGAGTTACATGCCAACCACGTGTGTAGTTTGCTATGAGCAGATGTAGTGACATTGTCTTCCTTTAATCAAGTTTGTTTGCAGACCTGATGTTTCTGAGCTGGAGTCGAAGCTTTCAGAACAGTCCAAGATACTCTCAAATCTTCAGCAAAAAGTTGATGACTTAGCATCGAAGGTTTATCCTAGCTCCACAGCTCATGGTTCAACATGTCTTTAAAGTTCCATGTTTGTGTCTGTTAAACTTCTTGCATTTAATTCCTGGAAATGCAGTCCTTTTTGATCAACTTGATGTTATGTTTTCTTTGAAGATGTCTTTTTACTGTATGTGATGTTTTTATTGGGAATAAAGCAGTGCCACATAGGATTTACTCTATAGGGAATTGGTTTGTCCTTAAGATGAAAATACAATATTTAGGATTTGTTACTGAGCTTACTTTTTTGGAATTTTCAAAGTTGTGTTGATTGTGCTTCAAATATGTAATTGATCTCCAGTCAGATGGAGCTTGGGCGTTGGTTATTCGGTTACTAGACTGTCAAAAGTTGCTCTTATATTTTTAAAATTTCCACCAACTTAGAAGATACTCTTTGCAATTTTCTGAGGCTACATGGTTTTCTAAATTTTGTGTTTTCTGGATATGAATCAGCCAAAATTTTGATTTCCTGCTGTATGTTTGTGCACATAATTTTGTTTTTATGTGTTTGTGCATGCTCATGTGTCTGTTACTAGTTACTTGTATTTTGTTTATTTAATTTCAATTCTTTCCCCCCTTTGTAGCATGCTTACAATCCTGACGAGGAGTATATGGAAGTGGAATCTAAACTGCGGGCACATTTGGAATCATTTCTTGAAACTGCAAGATCATTCAATACGATTTATACCAAGGTCTGTCTTGCTGTTGCTTTCGGTTGATGTGCTTCTATATGTTTATTCTCAGTTATCTCCTATATTTAAGCTTGAAAGATCTTGCTACTTCTATGTCTTACACTTATATGCACTTTTTCTTCATGCTCTTGATACTGTGTAGTGGCATAACATAGAAAGATATAGCCAACCCCATTTAGGTGGGTATATGGTTTACTCTCTTGATTTTACTTAATAACATTTCTTGTTTTCATGTCCCACATCGCTATAAAGAAGGTTGTTAAGAGAAAAGCTTTGGTTTAATTTCCAATATATAAATGGTCTGAAGTTTTAGTTTTGACTTCAATGCCGCTTTAGATCTGCATAAAACCTTATTCTAGCATGTATTCATTTATCTGGTCTCAGTAAGGTGTTCTGCACTTAATATAATCATTGAGTTCTGATGCCCTAAAATTTCTCTGTAGAACTATCGTCATATTTTCCTCTGTCAATGAATGGTCTTAATTTTGAAAGTTTTCCTTGTAGGAAATTCGTCCATGGACACACATGATGGAGGTACCACAACTTCATGGGTTTGGGCCTGCTGCAAATCGCTTATTGGAGGCTTATAAGATGCTTTTGAAGGTATCTCAATGTTGATTCCATCTTTCTCCTCTCCTAACTTGTGATGTAGGAAGATGAATACTTCTTTTTTCAGTGGTTTGATAGGAAGAGAGATTTACTAACAGAGGGTTATCATCTGCTTTCATGAGAATGCATATACATTTGTGCCCATGTGTTTGTACACATACAAGAGCAGGGTCATCTTATGTGGACTATGTGCTGAAATGAATACTGTCACCCAAGGTGTTTCCCCTAACACCTTTCATTCCTCTCACATCTATCTGAATTGGTAGAGGAAATGAATCTCTAATATCTTGCTTTCAATAAATTAGCTTTCAGGTGAATCAGGTCTAGATTTTAAAAGTTTCAATTAAAAGCTGTGTTAAATTCAACAAATGCTAGAAAGGTTAGATTGATAGCTTTGGGAAATTAATTATTTTGTGGAAACTTGGATGAATGATCAACAATAATAGGAAGCTTAGATAGATGAAATCTAAAGTTTTTTTTTTTTGGGTTAAGTTGTTTTATTTAACCAAGTTAGTAGAATTCTGCTACAACGCAACAATATAACTATCTTTCATAATCTATCAGTATTTGAAGCTCTAATTGCAGCCTATTCTAACATAGCAACATTAAGGTTCCATGCATCACATAGCTCCTTATTAACAGGATCTGCAACAATCTGACTTATTCTCTGTAATCGAAGCCTAATAGCATCTTTAATTCGATCAAGCACCTGTGCAGCTGCCTCTTCCTTGTGCTTAAACTTGCTGTAATTCCTCTCCCTCCATATCTGGTATACGTTGGCACTCCAACCTATGCACAATATGATGGAGATCAAAGCTTTCCCCTTCAATCTGCTCACTGCCCAACTCAATTCTGCAGACCAATACTCCACTTCCCTATTGATCCTGCACAACTGAAGAATCTTCTGCCAACTTGCACGACTTAGGTTTTATTTACTTGCTATTTTCCTGTCTTATATAATTAGCCTGATCATAAATCCTAAATGTAATCCTGAAAAGAATCTTTAATCCACATATAATGGCTGGAAGACATGCATATTTGTTATGCAAGAATCATCATCTGAATTTATTATGGCAAGAGAAAATATCAAAATATGATGTGCATAAATAAAGAGAGTATGCGCATATACACTGGGAGGGGGAGAGCAGGTTGGAAATGATGCTAATATAAACTAAAATGACACATGATATATCCAGTATCACTTCATATATATAGTTTTGTACTTTCAGTCCTAGAATATTCGATTATTTTCATATATATGCAACATTTTAACTATCCTTCACATATTTTGGGTTTGTTAGTGAACTTGAGATTCTTTTGCTTCTATGGCAGTTCCTGGGCAACTTGAGGAGCCTGAGAGACTCGCATGCCGCTCTTGCAGTTGGATCATCTGAAACAGTTGCAGGTGAACCCTCTCCTGTAACAAGAATTATCTCTGAGTGCGAGTCTGCATTAACAGTCTTAAATCATGATCTTGGAATTCTCTCGGCTTCTATTGCTCGCGAGAAGGGTGAGCAAGTAAATTTATGATGATTGTAGAGAGACAGCAGAAAGAACCGACAAAGTATCTCTCCATGTTGAAGAGTGTGTATGTTCCATTTAGAAAAATGCACCATTGTCTTTTATTCAAGATATGAGCTTGGATTCAGTTTTGGATTAAGAGCTGGGTGTTGAGAGCTGGTCTGCTATGATGCAAGTTCTTCCGGATCTATAACATAGTTGCCGTAAAATAATGGAATCTGAATTGATGTAGATGAAGTAGGAACTGGTAATTCGTAAGAGTTATTTGCAATTGTGAATCTGCATTGACATTCGTAATTTGTGATATTGGATTCTTTGGCTCAATGGTTTGTAAGCGAGGTGGTTGATGTCATCTACAACTTGATTTACTGTAATTTTTACAGTTTGATTGCTTGAACCCACGACAGTTGGCTGGTTACAATGCAAAATTGTACTAATTAGAAAATGCTTATATTTTTATTTCTGACTCCATTATTTACCCTTATACATGATCTCCTTTTATTTTTATTGTTCAACTTTCTGGTTTGGAAGGACTGAGGAGTGAAATCAAGTAAAAACTCAAAAGAATTTTCCTGTCCTGGTTGTAAGAGTGGAGCCTGCATATATTGATTGTATTTATTATTCATTTCCACTTATGATCCACTTGATTAAGTTGTTTCCTTGCATTCTACAGTCAAGGAGAGCTAGCTATGTGATATTGGAGTTAGCTTGGATCTCGAATTTCAACATTAATTATAGCCCAAAAAATTAAAAAAGAAACAGCAACAAATTGATAAGGCAATCTCCCTCGTATTACAACTTCTGTTTCTTGATAAAGCACAAGGGAAAATCCCCATTTATGGTAACAGTACTAAACAGGCTCAAAGGCCTTGTCTGCATAAACAGTTCAATGTGATGCCCAAATTTTATTGCAAACCATCCATGGAAAACCTAACAACAGTTCATTTCGCAGGATGGTATTTGTCATATTGTTCTTGGTACTTGATGATCATCTTGTCATGAGGTGGCCAGTTGTCTTTGATTATTGGGAGTTGCGAAAACTCCTTCATCCAGGCCAATAACAATGGAAATCTCTCATCAATTATTTTAAAGCCAAGTACCTCTTCAAAAACACAGATCAAGTTTGCAAGCCAACCAAAAACGAGATCAGCCAGTCCTATCTTTTCTCCACCGAAGAATTTCTTTCCCTTCAGCTCTTCTTCTACAAATTTCAAGTTCTCCAGTGATGCTGCAACAGCTTCCTCTCGCTCTTTTCCTTCTTTGGTGAAAATACCCGATATTGATGGTAGAAGCTGCATCATGTTTTGTCATTGACAAAATAATTTAGAATTAGATAATATGACAAAAAAAGGATAAGAAAAAGTAAAGAAAATGATACAGAATTTAACAAAAATCAAATGTTTTTTATATTAAACAAATAATTCTTGTATAAAACATAATATTAATACATAAATTGTCAATATTTTACACCAATATAATCACATCAGTTACCATATATATATATAAAAACAAAAATCAGTACTTGCAGAAACAAAAGTTTTTACCTTTTCATCGTTGAATTTGGCCCAGAAGCGTTGCCTGGCTTTCTCCAAAGGATGTTGGGGCAACATGGGATTTTGCTTCCATGTCTCATCAATATATTCAAGAATCACAAGCGACTCCGAGATGGGTTTTCCATTGTGAACAAGCACTGGAACTTTCTTGTAGACGGGATTATACTGAAGAAGTAAAGCACTCTTGTTGGATAGATCTTCATCAAATGCTTCATACTGTATACCCTTTAGCTTCAACGCCCAAACAACCCTTAATCCAAAACGGGATGACCATGTCTTCAAAAGCTTCACTTCTTCCGCCATATTGTTTGATATCCCAATCTTCTTCATTTAACATCATATATATAGTAATTTTGTCTTTGCTTTTACTCTTTTAGCACTCTTCTTGTCGTGACTATGTTTTATAAATTTATAATAGTTCTAAAAAAGATAGAGTTTATATTTAATACTATTAATATATAAATTTTATATATTATAAATAAATTAAATAATATCATATTATTAATGAGTAAATATTAATTTTTAAAATAAATATATAAAAATTAATATTTTTTATAAAATTTAATTATTAATAAAATGATTTTATTTGATTTATTTTATTAATGGAATTGTATCATTTAATTTATTGATAGTATATAAAATTTATATTTTGTAATATATCAAATATAAATTTCAAAAAAATTAAAATTTTTAATTTGAAAGTTTTTAATTCTTATTTAAAAAATAAATAGTGACATTCATGAAATAGAAAATTTTTCATTATGTAATTTAATATATATAAAAACAAATTATCACATTAAATTTTTTTTAAAATTTTACAAATAAAATTAATAAAATAATAATATCTTTTAAAAAATAACAAAAAAATATACTAATATTTTAATTTTATTGATATAATGAAAAAGTTTTACCATCAATACGGTCTGTTATATATTAAAACCCCAACTTGCTTTTTGTATAAATCGAAAATGTTAAATGAATAAAAAAAATGGAGAAGAATACATTGAATTTTCTTTATGAAAGTTTGGATTAATTGTGATGTTAACATCAAGTCGAGATTAATTTTTATTTATTTTAAATTTGATTCAATTATATATATAAATTATTTGAATCTAATTCGATTTAATTTTTTAATTTTTTTCATACTTGAATTTGATTCGATTTAATATTATATAAAATCATATTCGATCTGATTCAATTTAAAATTAATAAAATATTATTTTTTAAATATAAAATATTTTTTAAAAATATAAATATAAAATTAAATAAATATGATATATATATAAATATAAAATTAATTAATTAAAATAATTATATATATATCATATAGGATAAGATCAAATTTACTTAAAATTTAATTTAGACTTAATTATGATTTTTTTATCATTGACTCGATTTAATACCTAATTTAAAAATAAATTAATTTAAAAAAAATTAAATCGATTCAAAATTTAATAGGTAGAATCAAAGTACCTTTTTTAGGGCTGATGTATATAGTCAAATCGCATGGCGGCTCTTGGAACGCAAGGTTGGGATTTTAATTTTGATAACATTTTTGTCCATATCTTCATATAAAAAATTTATTATCCTCATATAATAATACAAAACAAAAATTACAAACACGTAGATCCACAGTGGGCATCTCAAAAATTAAAATTGAAAATTAAAAATTTTGTTTAAACACTTTAAAAATTTTTAATTTTTTTAATAAATTAATATATTTTTTAATATTATAAATAAACAAAAAAATTTTAAATTCGTCAATGATTATATGAAAAGCAAGGCATAAAATGCATTAAAATAAATTTGGCCAACTTCTCTTTTTTTTTTTGATAATCTTTCTTTTTTATAAACAAAAGTTATACTTAAAATTGTGAATACGTTTCCTTGAACCAACGGGGAAGCAGCAAAGTTGGTGGCCTATCACTTCAAAAGAAAAAAAAATGGAATTCAAAACCAACTTTCCCTCTTTAATAATTTAAAATATAATATAATAATATAATATAAATATGATTAAATAAAAAAATAAAAATAATAAGATTTAAAATTTTCAAAAAATATATATTTAATTGCTCCACTTGTAATTTAATTTCAACAAAATCATAAGAAACAATGAACAAAAAGGAGAAAACCAACCAAAATGGCAGGCTCAAGTTCTGGGAAATAAGCCCAAGCAATGAGAGGAAAAGTAGTAAGGCCTAAAATGGCCCTATGATGCAAGAAGGGCCATGTTACTATCTTATGAAGAATGATACATTCCAACCCTCCTTTCATATATTTATTTATTTTTCATTGAAATCATAGTTTGTAAAGAATATATATACATATGTGGAGGTATTAAGTTATACAAAAATAATTTTATAATTTTTTATATTTTTTTAATCATTAATTTCAATGGATAAAAAGGATGAGAGAAACGAGACAAAAAAATTTACTCTTATTTTTTGGATCCAATGAAATCAATTGTTAGTAAAATGTATAAAATTAAAAATTTTTATATTATTATAAATTGATACATATATATATATATATGTGTGTGTGTGTGAGTGTTATAATGTCTAATGGATTTCCTTTTGCATAAACAATAGAAGAACTAAAAGAGGAAGTGACAGTACTATGACTATTTGATCTATTTTTTATATAAAAGAAACTGTAGTGTGAGGAGTAAGGGTGTAAATGATACATTAATACTCATAAGTTATTCAGATTCGATTCGAAAAAAATTTAAATTCGGTTCGATTATTATCGAGTTGAGCTCGAGCTCGAGTAGTTCGACTTATCGATCGAGTCAAATTCGAGTATTCTTATATCTGACTCGAATAGCTCGCAGATTAATCATGAAGTTATACTTAAATTTGAGACATAAAATATATTACATGTTTTATCAAAAAATATATTGGTCAAATAGTTAAATATTTTGCTATAATATGAAACATTAATTTGTAAAATTTTTAGCTTAATTAATAATAATGAATTATTTCGATTTATTGACACCATATAGTTTTAGCATCATTTAAAATTTTGACCTTCCAGTTATCATGATACCTCTTTGATATCGATTAGACATATAGCATTCTTAGATAAATATCAGATAATAAATGCAATATGAATCTATGATAAATTAAACTGCATGATATTCCTTATTTAAATTTAAATTTTATAGATTAAATTTAAAAAATTTAATTATCTTTAATCATAATCATATTTAAATTTTATTAATACTAAAATCCATTTATAATTTTTATTGTATAATCAAGTGCTATTAGCCGATGACAGATGGATAGTGGCCTTCTCTTGGAGCGAAGAAGATGATGCCCCAAAGGTATCGAATAAGCTAGCCCCTCATTATTTCAACAGCCGGCTTACTAATTACTACAAGGCGGTGGTAGACTCATTTTCTTACTCATACAGGGCTGTTTTAGGGTAGGCTTATCCTTATTCTAGCACGAGTGGACTGAAAAGAAGGAATGACTGACTCAATGGATTACTTGCTGGCTTTCTTTTCTCATTGGCTTATTAACTACTGGCTGGATACAACCAAAGGATAGTTGCTGAGACTGCATATCTAAGAATTTCAATGTATGACTAAATTTTACTTAAAAATCGCAATAATAGTAGTGATCAATTTATTAAAAAGTCGTAAATAAAAATTAATAAAATAAATTTTAATTTTAATTTAATTGATTTTTATAATTATTTGAAAAGATAAAATTTAATAAATTTGATATTCAAATTTTAATATTTATAATTTTTTTATATTTCAAATTATAATTTTAAAAAATATAAAAAAATTATTAATAAAACGAAACCAAAACCCAAACAAGCATCCTTTACCAAAAAAAATAATACGTACAATTTCGTCAGCAAGAAATAGTATGGTGGTGGGCATTTGTCTTAGGTCGAACTTTTGCTGCATATATATATATACCTACGTATTCAAGCTTTCATATTCTTAAAAAAAAAAAAAGAATCCAAGATTTTTAAGTAAGCTTTTTAAATCATGACAAGATCGATGATCATCATAGCAAAGTAGTAAGAGCCAACCAAGAATAAAAATAGAAATCTTGGAGTTATTACATGTGATGTGATTTTTATTTAAAAATTTTATGCCAGAATTAAATAACAGAAAATTAAATTTTGATGAGATTTAATTTTAATTACAAAATTTTAATTCATAATAAAACGATAGATTTAATTTTAAATATTTTAAATTAATAAATATAATTTCAGATTTTACAATTGTAATTAAATCACATTAAAATTATGTAATATTCTCGATAAAACCAAAATCCATAAAATTAAAACTCAAGAAAATATAAATCATATGAAATTGAGAAATAAATTAAATAAATTATATATTTATATCATATTTATATTATTTAAATACATAAAAAATAAAATTATTATATCATAATCTATACGTTAAGCATAAATTATATTTTTCTCAAAATTATAAAATAAATTATTTTTATTTTTTTTTTTCAATCGTATCAAAATCATTAGATCTAGGGTAGGCAACCTAATTCGTTTCCGACGGGTTTCGACCTGAGCCCATAAAATCGGATTTTTTTTTTTTGAAAATCGAATTTCGGGTTAAATAGTACTAAGAAGAAGTCGGATTCAGATTTATCTAAAACTCGACCTGATTCGATGTTATATAAAAATAATTTTTTATTTATATATTTATATAATTATATATTTAAATATTTATATTTTAAAAAATAATATTTTATATTTTAAAAATAATATTTTATTAATTTTAAGTTAAATTAAATCGATTAAGATTTATATATTATCGATCAAATCAAATCAAATTTAAATATGAAAAAATTAAAAAAATATCAAATCAAATTAAAATTAAATTTAATAAATATAAAATTAAATCAATTCAAAACAAATAAAAACTCTTGATCCGTTTTCAATTAAAAGTTGTCAATTAAAAGGTGAAAGGTCCATCAAATTAAAAGGTGAAAGGTCCATCAAATTAAAAGGTGAAAGGTCCATCAACCCTTTTATGGTGTTGTTATTAACGAGAATAATAAATAAGAAAAGCTGAGGAGTTGTTGGGCATTTGGTGGTTCATACGAAAGTAAAGGCTGGATGCCTTTTCGTACTCGTTTGTCTTTGAATCTTTAATTTCTAGCCTTTCATGTGAGCCCCCCAACACCTCTCCTGCTTATCTCTTACTTTTCTCTATTGACCGAACTTTTTGCCCTCCATGCATTTGGCTTTCCTTCAATCTTCAAATGCATGGAAGAAATTGTAAACTTCATTTCAAGTATAATAATATCTCAGTGTTTCCCTTTGATTTTAGGACATGCCTCAATGATGATTGAAAACGGATCTTTAGCTTTTTTATTCAGTAGGATATCTATGTATGTTGAAATTAAAAATTTTTTTTATTATCACTGGATTTGTAATTTTTACTTGCACATATAATTTTATAATATTCTTCAAAATATTGCGTCTTAAGCATAAAAAAAAAATTGTTATTTAGGTATAGAAAAAATACTGCAAATATTAAAATTTAAAATTTAAAATTATTAAATATTTTATTTTAAAAATATTTTTATAAATTAATTAGACTAAATTTCATATTCATTAAATACATATACGAAATGGTCATAAAGTCAAGTGAATGTAATTGCATGTCATCATCGAGGTGCTTTTGGTTTAGTCCACAGTGTTGGTTAGCCTTTATGCCACTTAGTTTATTAAATTAAATTGGTTTTGACAAAATATAAAAAGGAAATGTAATCATGCACACGACACAACAAGGTTACCAAATCCATGAAATTTTTGGTTTTTTCTTGTACTTGAAAAATTGTAATAAATTCTTATCCAACAAAAAATGAAGAAAAAATGAATGCTTGAAAAATAAGCAAAATAAATATAACCCTAATATTTGAGATGAATCATGAACATATATGATTGTTTTATTCAAGCAATGGTTTGGGTTAGAGAACTGCATGTGACCACACAACCACCGTATTTGAAGACAATCTAGGGTTAGGCTATTAAATGAGCCATGCCAATCCTTTAGACTATTTTTTATTGAATTTAATTAATTTTATTCAAATAGGCACGTCAAGATATGAATCATAAACAATATGATATGTAAAAAGAGATATGATATGATCAACCATATTTTCTCTCAATAATAAAGAAGAGATCATCGGAATATAATTTAATTTTTTTACATAATTATTTTTAAAAGATAATATTTAATAAATTTAAATTTTAAATTATAATATTTGTAATCTTTTTCTTAAATTATTTTCAAATTATTTTTTTTATTTTCATATATGTGTGTGTGATAAGATATATCAAAATCGTACGCATGTATTTAAGTCAAGTAGATTTGAACATTTGGATAGACATACGACCTTGATATGCCAAATTTTATCAAGGTTTTAATGGTTGATTGATCGAAAGATCAATTTTGAAAACAATTTAAGAAGATTACGGATGATAAACATGCAATTTTTATGCTAAAAATGAAAATAATACATTCTTAAAAGGTCACAAAAAGCTTTATTAAGAAAATAAGTCCATTAATTTCTGAAAATTTATATTATTTTAGTTTCATCTTAATTTAAATAATCAGAAAAATAAATTTGAACTATTGATACTCAAAATATTAATACAAGAACTATGCAAGTTTTATTAGTTGTTCTTTAAAAATCAACAAAATTAAAAATATAATGATAAAGTAAAGTATATATAATGACAAAGTTTAAAATTGAATCATAATATAACAACAATTTTAACTTTAAAGAATCCAAAATATATTTATTTTTAAAAAGTTTTAAACTTTAAAGTTGACATACTTTAATTGATAATGTGAAAAATATATATATATATATATATATATAGTTCACTTATTCATTGATAATGTATCAAATATAAATTTTAACTTGTACGTAAATACAATTCGCACTTATACTTTTATGTTTTATATATATATATTTTTCAGCCAATCATTTTATTAAGAGTAAATAACATATGTGGTCCCTAAATTTTAGATTAAATTTTATTTTGGTCCTTAAACTTTAAAAAATTCTACTCAAATCTTTAATTACCCGAACGTATACCAATGTACAAATAAATAAATTTTATGTTGTATAAAAATTTTAACTTGTACATAAGTGCAATTCATACTTATACTTTTATGTTGTATATATATATTTTTTTCTCAGCCAATCATTTTATTAAGAGAAAATAGCATCTAAGCTCTCTAAATTTTTGATCAAATTCTGTTTTGATTCTTAAATTTTAAAAAATTTTAATCAAATCCTTAATTGCCCAAATGTATACCAATATAGTTCTTCCATTTGCTAGACCATCTAAATTAATGAAAAATCTCACTTGGCATGACACATAACTTTTAAAAATTTAAATACGTGAAATTTTAAGGTTGACTTAAACATGAGTAGTTAATAAATGTAAAATTAAAAACAAAAGAAACCATAAATCAAAACATAATATAATTAAGGACTGAATATTAAACTAACTCAACAAAGATTTGCTTTTCACTGATCAAGTGAAAACATGTAAACAAACTCAACACATGTATTAATTCATGAAAAAATTTAGCCCAAATTCGTATCAATCCATTGTTCATATATACATTTACTAATAAAAAGAATTATAAATCAAGATAACCTCAAATTCTTCATAAGATTCAATTTTTTTAATACAAAAACAAAGATAAACTACCCAAGTTTCCTATAATCATATATAACAAGAAACTCTATTTTTATGGGTAATAAGAAGAGCCTATAAAATTCCAACACAAGACACCACAAAATAGGAACCGAAAGGCTACCTTTGCCATCTTAAATATCAACTAATGCCATTAACCTATCACTCAGATCTGAAACCAAATGAAAATGATTTCATTAATTTTTTTTCTCTCAATTTCTTCTTGCTTTCTTCCTTTTAATTTTAAAGGAAAGAAAAGAGAAGATGGAGGAGAGAAGTCGCTAGAATCTCAAATGGAGAAGGGTTGGATTAGTTTTATTGAACCTTTGCATTTCATTTGGCGAAGGTAGAGTTGCTGCTTAACTCTAGCTTTTGGTGCAGTTAATGGAGGAAAAAACAAAATTAAGTTATCACAACGTGTTGATTTTGGGTTTATTTTGTTTTTAATTTCATATTTTTAATTACATATGTTTAAGTCAACTTTAAAATTTCATGCATTTAAGTTTTTAAAGGTTATCTGTCATGCTACTTGGGATTTTCTGTTAATTTAGATGGTCCAATATATGAAAGGACTATATTGATACATATTTGGGCAATTAAGGATTCGATTAAAATTTTTTAAAGTTTAGGGACTAAAATAGAGTTTGGCCTAAAGTTTAAGGACTACCTACACTATTTACTCTTTTATTAATGAAAATCAAAATTACATGCAACAGGCTTTCGGCATTACAGCTGTTACCATTCTTACAATGCCTAAATCTATCTGTATTCTATGAGTACATATTTCCTTCCTTATAACGAAGTATGAAATAAAATTGTAGAATCCACTATCATTTTTACTAATGAATCTGCAAAAGCGTTAGCCTCCCTGTAGACATACATAAAATCCATATATCTTATTATCTCTTTTAACTTATCAATCTCCTCCAACTCTACTACAAAAAAATTACTCTATACTGATGCTAAAAAAATCATCAGTAAAACTTAAAAATCCATCGATATAGCATAATAAACTTTATACTATTCTTTTGCTTATTAGTGTCCACATACCTTACCTGATTCTATTTTTCTTGTTCCTCTTCTATTTACCATACTATTTAATATAACTATAAGTCAATCCTCCATTTTCCTCCTTTTGAACTTTGATTCTCTATCAACTGATCAACAAAACCCTAGATTCATCAAAGTTGATGATTATAAAATAATTGCTGATATGTTGCCATGTCCATTACTGAGGAACATCTTCAACATGGCCCTTCCAGAGAGCTAGCATTTATCACCATGAAAAATACTCAGCTATCAATCCCAAATATGTGATTGAGCCTGAAAGGTTGCTTTTTGCCCATTTCCTGATACGACCATACCATATTGCTGCCATTGTAGTCAACATTTCCTGAGACTAGCTAGTAGGGCTTCTCTTAGTACATTTATCTAGACTCCATTTAAACCAGAATATGGAATTGTTATATGTCATGGACTGTTGGGTTATAATTCTGCTAGTCCACTAATGCTACTAGCCTCCTGCCTCTATTAGACCCCACTTCTACTTATTCTGCAATGTCACTATTTAAGAAGCTTATATAGTGCTTTAGCTGAACTTTTTAGGCTATGAAGACCTCGCTCCCAGAATAGGTCCCATTACAATTAAAAATGATCCTATATTGCAATTGATAACAATTTCAGACTTCGAGTTACATGCCAACCACGTGTGTAGTTTGCTAGGAGCAGATGTAGTGACATTGTCTTCCTTTAATCAAGTTTGTTTGCAGACCTGATGTTTCTGAGCTGGAGTCGAAGCTTTCAGAACAGTCCAAGATACTCTCAAATCTTCAGCAAAAAGTTGATGACTTAGCATCGAAGGTTTATCCTAGCTCCACAGCTCATGGTTCAACATGTCTTTAAAGTTCCATGTTTGTGTCTGCTAAACTTCTTGCATTTAATTCCTGGAAATGCAGTGCTTTTTGATCAACTTGATGTTATGTTTTCTTTGAAGACGTCTTTTTACTGTATGTGATGTTTTTATTGGGAATAAAGCAGTGCCACATTGGATTTACTCTATAGGGAATTGGTTTGTCCTTAAGATGAAAATACAATATTTAGGATTTGTTACTGAGCTTACTTTTTTGGAATTTTCAAAGTTGTGTTGATTGTGCTTCTAATATGTAATTGATCTCCGGTCAGATGGAGCTTGGGCGTTGGTTATTCTGTTACTAGACTGTCAAAACTTGCTCTTATATTTTTAAAATTTCCACCAATTTAGAAGATACTCTTTGCAAATTTTCTGAGGCTACATGGTTTTCTAAATTTTGTGTTTTCTGGATATGAATCAGCCAAAATTTTGATTTCCTGCTGTATGTTTGTGCACATAATTTTGTTTTTATGTGTTTGTGCATGCTCATGTGTCTGTTACTAATTACTTGTATTTTGTTTATTTAATTTCAATTTTTTCCCCACTTTGTAGCATGCTTACAATCCTGATGAGGAGTATATGGAAGTGGAATCTAAACTGCGGGCACATTTGGATTCATTTCTTGAAACTGCAAGATCGTTCAATACGATTTATACCAAGGTCTGTCTTGCTGTTGCTTTCGGTTGATATGCTTCTATATGTTTATTGTCAGTTATCTCCTATATTTAAGCTTGAAAGATCTTGCTACTTCTATGTCTTACACTTATATGCACTTTTTCTTCATGCTCTTGTACTGTGTAGTGGCATAACATAGAAAGATATAGCCAACCCCATTTAGGTGGGTATATGGTTTACTCTCTTGATTTTACTTAATAACATTTCTTGTTTTGATGTCCCACATCCCTATAAAGAAGGTTGTTAGGGGAAAAGCTTTTGGTTTAATTTCCAATATATAAATGGTCTGAAGTTTTAGTTTTGACTTCAATGCCGCTTTAGATCTGCATAAAACCTTATTCTAGCATGTATTCATTTATCTGGTCTCAGTAAGGTGTTCTGCACTTAATATAATCATTGAGTTCTCATGCCCTAGAATTTCTCTGTAGAACTATCGTCATATTTTCCTCTGTCAATGAATGGTCTTAATTTTGAAAGTTTTCCTTGTAGGAAATTCGTCCATGGACACACATGATGGAGGTACTACAACTTCATGGGTTTGGGCCTGCTGCAAATCGCTTATTGGAGGCTTATAAGATGCTTTTGAAGGGTATCTCAATGTTGATTCCATCTTTCTCCTCTCCTAACTTGTGATGTAGGAAGATGAATACTTCTTTTCCCGTGGTTTGAGGAAGAGAGATTTACTAACAGAGTGTTATCATCTGCTTTCATGAGAATGCATATACATTTGTGCCCATGTGTTTGTACACATACAAGAGCAGGGTCATCTTATGTGGACTATGTGCTGAAATGAATACTGTCACCCAAGGTGTTTCCCCTAACACCTTTCATTCCTCTCACATCTATCTGAATTGGTAGATGAAATGAATCTCTAATATCTTGGTTTCAATAAATTAGCTTTCAGGTGAATCAGGTCTAGATTTTAAAAGTTTCAATGAAAAGCTGTGTTAAATTCAACAAATGCTAGAAAGGTTAGATTGATAGCTTTGGGAAATTAATTATTTTGTGGAAACTTGGATGAATGATCAACAATAATAGGAAGCTTAGATAGATGAAATCTAAAGTTTTTTTTTTTTGGGTTAAGTTGTTGTTTTGTTTAACCAAGTTAGTAGAATTCTGCTACAACGCAACAATATAACTATCTTTCATAATCTATCAGTATATGAAGCTCTAATTGCAGCCTATTCTAACATAGCAACATTAAGGTTCCATGCATCACATAGCTCCTTATTAACAGGATCTGCAACAATCTGACTTATTCTCTGTAATTGAAGCCTAATAGCATCTTTAATTCGATCAAGCACCTGTGCAGCTGCCTCTTCCTTGTGCTTAAACTTCCTGTAATTCCTCTCCCTCCATATCTGGTATACGTTAGCACTCCAACCTATGCACAATATGATGGAGATCAAAGCTTTCCCCTTCAATCTGCTCACAGCCCAACTCAATTCTGCAGACCAGTACTCCACTTCCCTATTGATCTTGCACAACTGAAGAATCTTCTGCCAACTTGCACGACTTAGGATTTATTTACTTGCTGTTTTCCTGTCTTATATAATTAGCCTGATCATAAATCCTAAATGTAATCCTGAAAAGAATCTTTAATCCACATATAATGGCTGGAAGACATGCATATTTGTTATGCAAGAATCATCATCTGAATTTATTATGGCAAGAGAAAATATCAAAATATGATGTGCATAAATAAAGAGAGTATGCGCACATACACTGGGAGGGGGAGAGCAGGTTGGAAATGATGCTAATATAAACTAAAATGACACATGATATATCCAGTATCAAATTCATATATATAGTTTTGTACTTTCAGTCCTAGAATATTCGATTATTTTCATATTTATGCAACATTTTAACTATCCTTCACATATTTTGGGTTTGTTAGTGAACTTGAGATTCTTTTGCTTCTATGGCAGTTCCTGGGCAACTTGAGGAGCCTGAGAGACTCGCATGCCGCTCTTGCAGTTGGATCATCTGAAACCGTTGCAGGTGAACCCTCTCCTGTAACAAGAATTATCTCTGAGTGCGAGTCTGCATTAATAGTCTTAAATCATGATCTTGGAATTCTCTCGGCTTCTATTGCTCGCGAGAAGGGTGAGCAAGTAAATTTATGATGATTGTAGAGAGACAACAGAAAGAACCGACAAAGTATCTCTCCATGTTGAAGAGTGTGTATGTTCCATTTAGAAAAATGCACCATTGTCTTTTATTCAAGATATGAGCTTGGATTCAGTTTTGGATTAAGACCTGGGTGTTGAGAGCTGGTCTGCTATGATGCAAGTTCTTCCGGATCTATAACATAGTTGCCGTAAAATAATGGAATCTGAATTGATGTAGATGAAGTAGGAACTGGTAATTCGTAAGAGTTATTTGCAATTGTGAATCTGCATTGACATTCGTAATTTGTGATATTGGATTCTTTGGCTCAATGGTTTGTAAGCGAGGTGGTTGATGTCATCTACAACTTGATTTACTGTAATTTTTACAGTTTGATTGCTTGAACCCACGACAGTTGGCTGGTTACAATGCAAAATTGTACTAATTAGAAAATGCTTATATTTTTATTTCTGACTCCATTATTTACCCTTATACATGATCTCCTTTTATTTTTATTGTTCAACTTTCTGGTTTGGAAGGACTGAGGAGTGAAATCAAGTAAAAACTCAAAAGAATTTTCCTGTCTGGTTGTAAGAGTGGAGCCTGCATATATTGATTGTATTTATTATTCATTTCCACTTATGATCCACTTGATTAAGTTGTTTCCTTGCATTCTACGGTCAAGGAGAGCTAGCTCTGTGATATTGGAGTTAGCTTGGATCTCGAATTTCAACATTAATTATAGCCCAACAAATTAAAAAAAGAAACAGCAACAAATTGATAAGGCAATCTCCCTCGTATTACAACTTCTGTTTCTTGATAAAGCACAAGGGAAAATCCCCAGTTATGGTAACAGTACTAAACAGGCTCAAAGGCCTTGTCTGCATAAACAGTTCAAAGTTATTGCCGGCATATGATGCCTAAATTTTAATGCAAACCATCCATGGAAAACCTAACAACAGTTCATTTCGCAGGATGGTATTTGTCATATAGTTCTTGGTACCTGATGATCATCTTGTCATGAGGTGGCCAGTTGTCTTTGATTATTGGGAGTTGCGAAAACTCCTTCATCCAGGCCAATAACAATGGAAATCTCTCATCAATTATTTTAAAGCCAAGTACCTCTTCAAAAACACAGATCAAGTTTGCAAGCCAACCAAAAACGAGATCAGCCAGTCCTATCTTTTCTCCACCGAAGAATTTCTTTCCCTTCAGCTCTTCTTCTACAAATTTCAGGTTCTCCAGTGATGCTGCAACAGCTTCCTCTCGCTCTTTTCCTTCTTTGGTGAAGATACCCCATATTGAGGGTAGAAGCTGCATCATGTTTTGTCATTGACAAAATAATTTAGAATTAGATAATATGACAAAAAAAGGATAAGAAAAAGTAAAGAAATGATACAGAATTTAACAAAATCAAATGTTTTTTATATTAAACAAATAATTCTGATATAAAACATAATATTAATACATAAATTATCAATATTTTACACCAATATAATCACATCAGTTACCATAAAACTTATATATTATATATATATTATATAAATATATATAATTATATTATATTAAACAAAAATCAGTACTTGCAGAAACAAAAGTTTTAACCTTTCCATCGTTGAATTTGGCCCAGAAAGCGTTCCCTGGCTTTCTCCAAAGGATGTTGGGGCAACATGGGATTTTGCTTCCATGTCTCATCAATATATCAAGAATCACAAGCGACTCCGAGATGGGTTTTTCCATGTGAACAAGCACTGGAACTTTCTTGTAGACGGGATTATACTGAAGAAGTAAAGCACTCTTGTTGGATAGATCTTCATCAAATGCTTCATACTGTATACCCTTTAGCTTCAACGCCCAAACAACCCTTAATCCAAAAGCGGTTGACCACGTCTTCAAAAGCTTCACTTCTTCCGCCATATTGTTTGATATCCCAATCTTCTTCATTTAACATCATATATATACTTATTTTGCTTTTGCTTTACTCTTTTAGCACTCTTCTTGTCGTGACTGTGTATTATAAATTTATAATAGTTCTCAAAAAGAGAGAGTTTATATTTAATATTATTAGTATATAAAAATTTTATATACAGTTAATAAATTAAATAATATTATATTATTAATAAGTAAATATTAATTTTTAAAATTAATTTATAAAAATTAATTTTTTTATAAAATTTAATTATAGATAAAGTAATTTTATTTGATTTATTTTATTAATGAAATTATATCATTTAAGTTATTGATAATATATAAAATCTATATATTATAATATATCAAATATAAATTTTAAAAAAAATTAAAAATTTTAATTTGAAAGTTTCTAATTCTTATTTAAAAAATAAATAGTGACATTTTATGAAATAGAAAAATTTTCATTATGTAATTTAATATATATATAAACAAATTATCACATTAAAATTTTTTTAAAATTTTACAAATAAAATTAATAAAATAATACGTAACTTTTAAAAAATATCAAAAAAACATGTAATAATATTTTAAATTTTACAAATAAAATCAATACGGTCTTATTATATATTAAAACCCCAACTTGCTTTTTGTATAAACGGGAAATGTTAAAAGAATAAAAAAAGAGAAAAAAGAAAAGAATACATTGAATTTTCTTTGGGAAAGTTTGAATTAATTATAGATGATAACGGATGGATTGAAATTAATTTTTATTCACTTTAAATTTGATTTGATTATATATATAATATTTAAATTTAATTTAATTTAATTTTTTTTATATTCAAACTCGACTCAATTTAATATAATATAAGATTTTACTCAACCAAATTTAATTTAAAATTAATAAAATATTATTTTTTGAAACATAAAAATATTTTTTAAAAATAAATATAAAATTAAATAAATATAAATATATATAACTATAAAATTAATTAATTAATTTATATATATATATATAGAATAAAATAAAATAAAATTTGTTTAAAATTTAACTTTAACTTAATTTTAATTTTTTTATTATCCGATTCGATTTGATTGATATTCAATTTTAAAAAAATCAACCTTAAAAAATTAGATCGAATTAAAATTCATTATATACTAATCAAAATACCTTTATTAAGACTGATATATATAGTCAATGCATGGCGGCTCTTGGAACGCAAGGTTGGGATTTTAATTTTGATAACATTTTTGTCCATAACTTCATATACAAAACAAAAATTACAAACACGTAGATCCACATATAGAGTGGCCATCTCAAAAATTAAAAAATTAAAAATTAAAATGGAAAATTTTGTTTAAACACTTTAAAAATTTTTAAATTTTTTAATAAATTAATAAATTAATATATTTTTAATATTATAAATAAACAAAAAATTTAAATTCGTCAATGATTATATGAAAAGCAAGGCATAAAATGCATTAAAATAAAATTGGCCAACTTCTCTTTTTTTTGGATAACCTTTGTTTTATAAACAAAAGTTATCTTTCTTTTTTATAAGACAACTTGTCTTTCTTAATGTACGTAAATGTAAGAGAGAAAAAAACAGAAGCAAAGGAGCAATAAGAGATGGGAGATTCATTGTTTGCCACACATTCCTTATCTTAAAATTGTGAATGTATTTCCTTGAACCAACGGGGAAGCAGCAAAGCCGGTGGCCTATTACTTCAAAAGAAAAAAAAAATGGAATTCAAAACCAACTTTCCCTCTTTAATAATTTAAAATATAATATAAACATGATTAAATAAAAAAATAAAAATAATAAGATTTAAAATTTTCAAATATATATATATATATATTTGAAAGAAAAAAGGCAATGAGAAATAGAAGGTTTGAATCAATTTAATTTCAAATATATATATATATATATTTAATTGCTCCACTTGTAATTTAATTTCAACAAAATCATAAGAAACAATGAACAAAAAGGAGAAAACCAACCAAAATGGCAGGCTCAAGTTCTGGGAAATAAGCCCAAGCAATGAGAGGAAAAGTAGTAAGGCCTAAAATGGCCCTATGATGCAAGAAGGGCCATGTTACTATCTTATGAAGGATGATTCATTCCAACCCTCCTTTCATATATTTATTTATTTATTTTTCATTGAAATCATTATTTGTAAAAAATATATATATGGAGAGATTAAGTTATACAAAAATAATTTTATAATTTTTTATATTTTTTAATCATTAATTTCAATAGATAAAAAGGATGAGAGAAACGAGACAAAAAAATTTACTCTTATTTTTTGAATCCAATGAAATCAATTGTTAGTAAAACGTATAAAATTAAATTTTTTTATTTTATTATAAATTGATACATATATATATATATATATATGTGTGTGTGTGTGAGTGAGTGTTATAATGTCTAATGGATTTCCTTTTGCATAAACAATAGAAGAACTAAAACAGGAAGTGACAGTACTATGACTATTTGATCTATTTTTTATATAAAAGAAATTGTAGTGTGGGATACAAGTAAAAATTGGAAATAATGAGATTTAAATTAAATCTGTAAAATATTTTTTTTAAGAGTAATTATATAAATTTATTAAATTAAATGTCAAATTCATTATTTTTCAATTTATGTTTAATCATAATTTCATTGTGTAACTAAATTTTACTTAAAACTCGTAAGTCCATTATTGTTCAATTTATCTTTAGTCATAATTCAGGTGCTATTAGCCGATGACAGATGGATAGTGGCCTTCTCTTGGAGCGAAGAAGATGATGCCCCAAAGGTATCGAATAAGCTAGCCCCTCATTATTTCAACAGCCGGCTTACTAATTACTACAAGACGATGGTAGACGCATTTTCTTACTCATACAGGGCTGTTTTAGGGTTTGCTTATCCTTATTCAAGCATGAGGGGACTGAAAAGAAAGGAATGACCAATTCAATGGATTACTGCTAACTTTCTCTCCTCATTGGCTTATTAATTACTGGCTGGATACAATCAAAGGATGGTTGCTGAGACTGCATACCTAAGAATTTCAATGTCTGACTAAATTTTACTTAAAAATCGCAATAATAGTTGTGACCAATTTATTATAAAATCGTAAATAAAAATTAATAAAATAAATTTAAATTTTAGTTTAATTAATTTTTATAATTATTTCAAAAGGTAAAATTTAATAAATTTGATATTCAAATTTTAATATTTATAATTTTTAAAAAATATAAAAAAATTATTAATAAAACGAAACCAAAACCCAAACAAGCATCCTTTACCAAAAAAAAATGACGTACAATTTCGTCAGCAAGAAATAGTATGGTGGTGGGCATTTGTCTTAGGTCGAACTTTTGCTGCATATATATATATATATATACCTACGTATTCAAGCTTTCATATTCTTAAAAAAAAAAAAAAAAAAAGAATCCAAGATTTTTAAGTAAGCTTTTTAAATCATGACAAGATCGATGATGATCATAGCAAAGTAGTAAGAGCCAACCAAGAATAAAAATAGAAATCTTGGAGTTATTACATGTGATGTGATTTTTATTTAAAAATTTTATGCCAGAATTAAATAACAGACAATTAAATTTTGATGAGATTTAATTTTAATTACAAAATTTTAATTCATAATAAAATGATAGATTTAATTTTAAATATTTTAAATTAATAAATATAATTTTTATTAATAAATATAATTTCAGTTTCGATTTTACAATTGTAATTAAATCACATTAAAATTATGTAATAT